GCGGACTAGAGCTCTTAGTGTTTTTATTGTAACTTAGCCCAAGGTGCTTTCTGTCGTGTTTCAATAACTCAAGTGCCTCACAGTTTTTTCCTGTCTTGCATATACTGCATTAAGTGAGTGTGTATACGTACTATCTGCAGAACATGCTACTGTTAAAATCACTTTACCATAGAATTTAATACAGCTTTCCATAAAGCTGTTTTCCTTGACTTGGGTCTAAAACTTTTTGTCCTGCTCTTAGGATTATTTCGAGAGCAAAGTGGGAATATTTGACACTCTGTGGAGAGGCCTGTGTGAAGTTTTTCTGTGGCTGAAAGTAATCCGTACCTGTCTTCTCTTCCTGTCCGTTCTCCCTGCTCCGGTCCCTCCTTCCCAGATGCCTGCGAGTGTGTCTGGTGCAGCCGGTGTCGTGCTGAGCAAACCTCCTCGTACCGTTACCAGGAGACCCTTTTTGTTCAGTGAAAACAGTGGCCTGATATTTATTTTAAGTGTTCTGTGAACGTAGACATTTTTCCCAGGCTTTCTTAATGGGTGGAGACACCGTCTATAAAGTGGTGTTTACACACCTTCCCAGAGGTCAGGATGTCCAGGCAAAATCTTGTTTAAATGTTCATCACCATAGAAACCTGTCGGCTCGCTGGCGGAGCGTTTGTGAGGACATTGCGCTTTTCCCTTCGTTGGTGTTCAGTGCGGCACAGTTGAATGTGGGGTCGGCCAGCACCCAGATTTCAAGCCGCAATGAGAACTGGTTCAGTGTGTTAACTGCGCTTTCAGTGTTTATTTACTGGCTTGCTAATCTAGTTGAAACTGTTATGTTGTTGAGAGAGTTGGATCACATACCAAAATAATGGTTGGATTGTTGAGGTATTTTGGATTACATACCAAAATAACACTGGTGTGAAGCTAGCGTGGTTAATTATACAGCTTACTTTTCTTCCAAACCGTGTGGTGCTTCGCGGGCAGACAGTTCTTGGTTTCGGTGGTGCTTCTTACCACTGCCCTGAGTGCTTGTTAGGACGGTGTCAGTACATGGGATGGGGCGTCCTCTCAGTAACTTGGGCTTCTGGTTTTTGGGGGGTCAGTGAAGGCCTGACACAGTCCCTGGAACCCTAGCAGTGCACTGCATGGGTGACGCATGCACAGCCCTGTGGGGGAGCGCAGCTTGTGACAGCAAGTCCAGCCCCCACAGCTCTGTGACCTGACATGCAGGGGGTCCTGCTCACGGTGGAGAGGAGCAGGGGAAGCCCCCCTCCGCACCCCCACTCCAATGTCTCCTTGCCACTGTGACGGCACAGGGTCTCAGCAGGTGGCTCTGACATCTGGCCACCTCTTAGCTCAGCTCATGGAAGAGGGGACTTGATGGGGACCTTCCCCTTGGGGCCTCCTCGCTCCCGATCCCCGCCCAATCCCGACTCCTAATGGAAAGATGAGCGGCGGGCATCTTTGTTTGCTCACACGCTGTCCCGCTGGCGATTAATGGCTGTGATAAAAGCTCTCATGCCGCCTCTCCTCGCGGTGCCGGCAGAGGCCCATCCCAAGTGCAAGCCTCGCCATGAGCGCCACAAGGCCCGCTTCTTGAGGTTGCCCTCCTCCCGAGGAAGCTCTGCTAACGGGATCGTGGGGGTACCTGGCGGAGCTGCTGACGGGGAGTCAGAAGCTGGGGTTCAGGGTGTGGGCAGCCCCCGCTGCTCCCCTTGCTCTGCCCCCCTGGGGTGCGTGAGTGAGCAGGTCTGTGCCTGCCTCCCACACCGGGTACCTAACGGGCTTCAAGTTGAGCCGATTTTGTCTCATTTAGTCGCAGAGACTAAAATTAACAAAAGGAAACAGCATTGTCCCGGCCCCCCAGGGGGCCAAGTCGGAATGACAGTTACCTTCCCGCCCTGTCCCTGTGGCCTCAGTGTCACACCGCCGCTCCCCGCGGGCCTGCCGCACACTCCTTACGCCGCTCCTTCTCTCTCTTTACTGTTAGGTTGACTGCTGCGAACGGTCTTAGTTACTTCCTGTCTTTCGGAGGGAGTTTTAATCAATTTGAAGTACATTTTTTAAGAATTTGTATGATTTGCCTGCTTCAAAGGTTTGTTTGGGGGTTTTTTGGTTAAATATTTTTTTCTGTCACCACTCAAGCGTGTGAATATACATTTTAGACATTTCTTCCTGGTATTATTCATATATCTATAATAGAAAGGGCATCCTGTTGGAGTCATGTGGCTTGTTTCTGTTTAGAAAGGCTCATTCACATGGAATTTTTTTACAGCACATACGAGACTTTGGGGGGCACTGGGGGGACTTGGGGTGTGAGCATATGTGCACAGGGTCGTGGTGGTTAACCGTTAGGGCTTTCTGAGAGGGTCACACTTAGGTTGTGTTTCAAATACTCGAGGAGAGGATATGCTTTTTCTTAATGTAAGCCGAAGAGGGTAGTATGAGAATTTAGTAGATTTTCTGTTTTCAAAGAATCTGGCAGTACAGTGATCGTGGAAGAACGGACCGGAAAGTGCTCGGGAACCCAGAGCCCTGGCAGGAGGGTCTGTCAGGAGCAGTGGTCGCCGGTCCTCCTGGTGACTGTCATCACCCCCTTGTGGCTGTGTGACCGCAAGGCGGCTACAGCGGAGGAGAGTGTGCCCCCTTCTCTGGCCCTTGCTCCCTGTGCGCAGCCTGCACGTGGCTGGGACCAGCCTCGCGGTTGTCACGTGGGCGCAGGCCTCTCGGCCTCGCCCCTACTGCCGCCCGAGGTCATCTCGTGAGTCCCGGCCAGCGGAAGAGAGAGCCAGGTAGCCTCTCACTGGCTGCGGTGGCGCCCGTGAGACCAGACTTCCCGGGTGTCACTGTGTCCCTGCCCCCTGCGCGGCGGCTGAGACGCCATGTGTGCCTGCGAGCTCCCAGGCTGGCCTGCCAGGTGCTGCCTGGGCGAGGACTCTGGGCCCGACCCCGGGCCTCACAACTCACGGCACAGCAGGGCGAGTGAGCTTCTGGCTCCTCTCAGTTCTCCGACCGCAGCCCAGAGGCGCTGCGTGGCCAGGGGCCATGTCCACAGTGACCCAGCCGAGGAGCCCCGAGCTTGGGTAGCCCACATTCTTTAAAAAGGGCTGCAAGCAGCCTGCCGCCCTTTGCTCTGCTGGTGACACGATCTCTGTCACACCAGATGGTGACAGACCTGCCCCTGCCTCCGAGAGGCACCGCATCTGTGTTTCAAGCCTGTGTGCGGGGCAGGCCTCCTCTGGAGGCCCCGCCCCTGCCTGTGAACTGTGGGGAGATGGGAGGGCCTGGGGCCTGGTCCCCTGCCCTGGACAGGCTCACCTCTGAGGACAGGCACACTTCACCGCTACTGCGTGTTTCCGAACAGAGCGTTGGAGGAGGCGGTGTGTCTTGTGGAGGTCGAGCCTCTGACATTGGCAGCCATCACCTTGGCACTGGGCACACACGTGGTTACGTTGTTTTAATGGACATAGCGACTGTGATGCACCGTGACAACACCTTTGTCTGGGGGGCGGGTGTCGACCCCTGGGCACTGTGGCTCAGCCGCCCTCGATCTGCGCAGCTGTGCTGTTGACCCCTGCATCGCGGCCCTGGGGACGTGTGTGCAGAGGGCTGTGGCGACCCTGACACTCCTGTGGGCTGCCAGTGTGCGACAGACGTACCAGAGCACCCGCTCTTTTTACCTGTTCTGCTCACGGGTTCTCCACACCGTGTTGAGTGTGCCGCGGAAAGACTCTTGCTTAGAAAGGGAGAAAGAAGGACAGAACAGTCAGGTTGAAAAGCGGGGGTCATGCTTGGCCCCCACACGGTTGGGCGTGTCCGTGGAGTGGGTGTGTGTGTTGCGACTGTTCACGCTCCGCCCCCCTGGGGAAGCGGCTGCTGTCCCCCGAACTCGAGCCCCGCTCACTTCGGCCCAGCGCCTCCTGTGCTGTGAGCCCTGCGGATCGCCGACTGCAAGCCTGAACACGCTGGCTGTCCCGCCCCTGCTGGGACAGACCAGGAAGGCCACTTCAACTCTGCGTCTCCATGTGGGTCAAGGGGTGCCACTCTGCCCTCTGCTGAGTGCGAGGAGCAGCCGGTTCCTGTAGTCCACAAGATGGAAAGTAAGTTTAGGGCAGAGTCAAGGTGAGTGTGTGTTCAGGGTCGTTGTTTATAACTCATGTCTTTGCCTTCTCTTCCATGTGGAAAGAAAGGTCCCGTGGTTCCTTAAGGACACGGACGCACTTCTGACGTTGTGTGTTGTGTCACATGCTGCACAGTGGTGACTGCAGCATCGCTGTGACTCTGTGAGCCGTGGCACAGACTCAGTCGTCGTGTGGTCCTCAGGAGCGTGAGGGAGGTTTAGTGGCTGTCTTGTCTGGGAGGTTACCAGCTGACAAGGTGTGCCTCTAGTTGGGCCCTGGGCTGGACTTGTTCTACGTTTAGAACAAAGTGTGCACAGGTCCCAGCTGTGGAGGAAGGACAAGTCTCTGAGGGAGGGCTGCACTCTGGACTGTAAAGACTGTCCTCCTGGGCCCCTCCTGTCGGGCGCGGTGGAGGCCTCCGCTGCCCACTAGAGGGCGCCGGCGGCCCGGAGCTGCGGGAGCTGGGCCCCTGCGCCAGCGGGCTTTGTGCCTGCAGCCGGCAGTGCTCGCCATCTGCTTGGCTCTGCGCCGTAATTAGCCTTGTATCTCTTGATTAGAACCACAGATAAAAGTCGATTAATCTGCTTCTGAGGTGGAAAGTGTTGGGAAAGTAATTAATTGTTTAGGATGCTCCTGTTCTGCAAAATGTTTTCACAAAGAATCTTCTTTGGTACTTTCTTCAAAGCTAATGGTATTTTACATAATTCTGGACAAGGCAGACGGAATGAAACCTTGAACTAACAGGACATCACCAGCTGTGAGCACGTCGTGTTTCTGTCCTGCCGGCGAATACACACTCGCTCCCCTTTCCAAGGGGCCCTGTGCTTTCTGGGACGGGCAGAGACCTGCTTACTCGAGCGCTGCATCCAGACGTCACCATCACACGTCTCTGTTTTCCAGGGCATCCGAGCCCGCATCCTGGAGACGCTGGTCATGCTGGTGCTGCTCGCGCTACTGATCCTCGGGATGGTGTGGGTCGCCTCGGCGCTGGTGGACCGCGACGCGGCCAGCATGGAGTCTCTGTACGGTGCGCTGGGCTGCCCTGCCCGTGTCCCCCGGGGCCCGCGGTCGCTGACGTGCCTTGTAGGCAGCTGAGCCTTTCTGCGTAGTGTCAGCCCTCGTTAGTGTGCAGAACTAAGAAGCCTCCCGACACGCCGCAGGAAACCGTGAATGCCCACGCACGCCCTGCACGCAGAGCGGCTGTGAGCCGGTGTCTGGTCTCCCCGTCCCAGGCTGGCTTTTCCCACTTCCAGACAGGCTTGCAGGGGGGCTGCTCCCCGCCCTTCTCCCGAGGCTGCTGCTCCAGGGGTTCAGAATCTGCTTGGGGCGCCAGGCTTGGCCAGCAGCTCCGCTGCACACTGCACGTCCCCTCGAAGTCGGCCCCGTCCTGCCGGGCAGTGCGTGGGGCTCACTGACGTCTGCTCCGTGTGTTTTGCAGATCTCTGGGAGTTCTACTTGCCCTACTTGTACTCCTGCGTCTCGCTGACGGGATGCCTGCTGCTTCTCTGTGAGTATTTCTGACGTCACGTCCGCCGGAGGGTTGAGCTGCTCTGTGTTCCAGAGAACTGTGGGGAATTTTCCTGAGGGCGCTTCGTAGCAGCTTGGAGAGTTTTCCAAAGTGGACCCTCAAGCATTTTTATGTTCAAGATGAATTTTGACAAACTGAACCCTTGAAACAATAAGGCATTTGTATTTTCTCTAAGAAAAGCCTCTTCCCCGGGGGTGGGGGGAGGGGGGGACACAGGGCACACACATGTGCACACAGATGTGCACGCCCATAGACATGCACACGCAGACACAGAGCAGACACAGACGTGCACACAGACCACACTCAGGTGCACATGTGCCCACACGCACTCACAGCACACATGCACAGACCTGCATGTGCACACACAGACATGCCAATCCCCCACCCCCCGCCACTGCACACTAGACTCTGCTTTCGGATGCTAGTGGTGGGGACGTGTGTGCGATGACTGGGTTCTCTATCGGAAAGTTCGCTTAGTTTTCCTTCAGACGTCACAACCTATCTCAGGGATATGACCAACTGATAAATGTCGTTAAAAGGGTTCAAGGTTTTCATAGTCACTTCCGGGTATTCTCGTCTGCTTCTCAGTCCCATTAGTACTGGACATGTAAGCTGCTCTTCAGCTGGTTTTCTGTAACTCGTTTAAGTGAAAAGGCCATCATTGCTCACCTGCCAGAGGTTCGCCCATGCGTGTTCGGCCCGTAGCCGCCATCTGTCCTTCCTCAAGCGGCAGAAGGCGTCCCCCCAGCCTGTCCTGATGATGTGGAGGAGCTGAGCCCTCTGCAGACTTGGGGGTCTGATGCCGAGACCGCGCTTTCTCTCCAGCACGGTCTGAGCGAGCGTGGTGAGCGTGCTCGCCCCTAAGTGTTCCCATTGTGTCTCCCGCAGTGTGCACCCCCGTGGGCCTGTCCCGCATGTTCACCGTGATGGGCCAGCTGCTCGTGAAGCCGGCGGTGAGTACGGCGGGAGCCGTCTGTCTGGGGTGACGGAGTTGGCGTGGTGGCTTTCGGGGTGTCGGCCGGCACTCAGAAGCAGAGGGAGAGTGTTTTTGTGGGTGTGTGACCCGATTTGCTGCTGCTGTTTTTATTTTAATCTTTTTCCTTTTTGGAAACCGCGTTTGTTTTTGCTTTTAAAATACTCACTATAGGCACTCAGGTAAAGTTTCTGTAGCAAGTTTTAAGGCAAGATTTACAAATATTTACAGGTATTTTAGGTATTTGTTTCCTCATATTAAATAGTAACTATTACGTATCAAAACTTACCACATACGCTCTTTGATTTACAGAAGCAGTTATGTTTCTGAAGGTTTGTCTACATATTAGGTCTTGTCCCTTTAATCTCAGAAGTCATATATATTCATTTTCAAAGATTTACAATTAGCAGTAATTCTAATCACTTGTTTCTTTGGCCTCTAGGTATTTTGTCAAGGGATTAATAACATGAAAATGATTCTTAGCTGTGTGTAGGAGATGTGTTGCTCAGACCCGAGCATGGACCCTCACTGCCCACGTACTCTCGTCTGAATGGCCCACCTGTTAGGAGGCCTCTGAGCCTGCCTGCACGGAGTCCACCCTCCCGCCCCCACTGACGCTGCCCCGCACTCACGGCCGACCAGGGTCGCTCCCCCGCCTGGCAGCCTCCGGAGGCCTGGCCCCAGGACCCGCTGCCCATCTGCCTGACTTTGGCCCTTGTCTCGCTTCTTCAGGCTACAATAATGAAGCTCCTTCCTCTGCATTTCTCACGCTCCCTTCTGTTTGTGTTTTACTGGTAGTATTCCTTAAATTTCTATGGCTATATGTTTGTCTTCCTTCAGAAAAAGCTAAGGAAATACAACGTATATTCTTTTTTTAAATGCTAGTTTAATTTTGAAGGATTTTTTGAAGAGATAAATGGCATTCTCTTCATATCTTTAGAATAAGATTGGATTTTTACTTGCTACCTAAGCGGACGCTCCCAGACACCGCACGCGCAGTCTCAAGTCTCGAACTCACTCCCGTCTTAAGCAGGACCCGTGGCACTTCGTGCGTCCGGCTTCCTCCTGGCTCTCTGCTCTGTTTGTTTGTCTCGGTCTCTTTCTCCGTTTTCATCTCCTGCCCCTGAATACAGGCAGATGTGTCAGGTTCGTAGCTTGCCCTCAAGTGGCTGTGCTCTGCTGTCCTGGCCACCTCGGCCCTGCCCCGCCCTGTGCCTGACTCGGGTGAGGGCGCGGCCTTCTCAGCGCCGTGGTGAGTGCTCGCTGAGAGGGACCAGTGCCCGCGAACCTGGCGCCTTCTTGACCTCCCTCCCGGAGCCGATTTCCTGCCAGACTTGTCTGTGTGAACAGTGTCCTTTGCCTCTTCTCTTGTTCCTCACCTCCAATCATAATCTTAAAAATTTTTTAAAATTCAATTTCACTTGTCCCCATCTCTCCCCCATTATTCTCTCCTGCCCTACCCACCCCCCTCCCACATTTAATCCCCCCTGCCACGGTCTTTGTCCCTGGGTCCTTTATACATGTTCCTTGACTTGACCCTTCCCCTGCTTTCCCCCGTTATCCCCCTTCCCTTCCCTCTCTGGTCACTGGCAGTTTGCTCTTTATTTCCATGTCTCTGGTTCTATTTTGCTCAAATGTTTGTTTTGTTCATTAGGTTCCACTTAGAGATGAGATCATATGCTATTTGTCTCTCTGGGCTTGGCTCATTTCTCTGAGCATAATGCTCTCCAGTTCCATCCATGCTGTCACAAGGGGTAGGAGCTCCTCCTTTCTGCCGAGTAGTATTCCATCATGCAAATGTACCGCAGTTTTCTGATCCACTCATTGGCTGATGGACACTGAGGCTGTTTCCAGCACTTGGCTGTTGTAAATTGTGCTGCTCTGAACATTGGGGTGCGTAGGTTCTTTTGAATTGGTGTTTCAGGATTTTTAGAGTATAATTCTAGCAGTGGAATCCCTGGGTCAAGGGGCAGTTCTATCTTTAGTTTTCTGAGGAAGTTCCATGCTGTTTTGCACAGTGGCTTCCCCGGTCTGCATTCCCACCAACAGTGCACTAGGGTTCTCTTTTCTCCACATCCTCTCCAGCACTTGTTGTTTGTTGATTTGTTTTGATGGCCATCCTGACTGGAGTGCACTGGTATCTCATTGTGGTTTTACTGTGCATCTCTGATGGCTAGTGCTGCTGAGCGTCCTTTCCGTAATGGGCTTCTATCGAGTCGTTGATTCTAGGGTGTGTGCCCGCGGGGCGTGCCTCCTGTCACACACATGTCCCCACCTGACCCTGACGGCGGACATGCAGCTTAGGTGGCGGCATCTTGTTTGTGGCCCAGTCACCCTGAGGGCTGCTGTGGAGCCCGCTGTCCCCACCCAGGACTTGTGTGTCTTCTGGTTGGGGAGCCCCTCTCTGGCGTCCCCAGGTAGTGTCCCCGCACTCTCTTCCTGTCCCTCCTCGCTCACAGGGTGCTTCTCTTCTGCGCTCATTTAGATTCACTGTCACTTACTGTTAATTTGCTGCTAGTTCGAGGCCATAGAAGAGCCTTGGTATTTATTGAAGTCCTGGGAGTTAGGGGATTGCTGTGAATCAGCTTTAGGAAATCCTGCAAATTCAGTGCTTGTCAGGGACCGCACGGTCTGAGGCCCCTTGTCTCAGCAGTGCCCCGCAGGGCGCTGAGCGGCCGGCTTGTGGAGCTTCCGTCCTTCCATTCTGTCCGGGACGCCTCACAATCATTGTGCCGCTGGGAGGAGCGGTTTGGGTTTGCGCGACACAGAGCCTTGACCCCAGCTCTGGGCTCCTTCCAGGTTTTCCGCAGCGCCAGGGCCTGCTGACGGAGCTGGCGTGGACCCACTCCGGGCGAGTGGGCCTGGTCACGGCGCAGACACTAGCCGACATGGTGGCTCCTCCGCGGGGTTTGGGGGCCCATGCTGTGCGGCGTGGCAGTGAGTGGTGGGCGTCCCAGCCTGCGGCCCCTCTGGGGCTCTCTCTGTGGCGGCAATGTGTGACCGTGAGCCACAGGAGCGCTTCAGACACGTGGTGACACATGGCGACACCCGGCAGTTTGGGCAGGGCGCTGGCCTCTCTTCCCGTAGATGGCCAAATGAAAGAACAGCAGCAGCCAGGGCAACGATAGCCGTCCAGTGCGGATGAATCAGAATTATTCCTGGTTTTCTGGTCAGATCGGCACATACACGTTTTGGGTGTGCCACAGAATTTTGGTCACTACTTTATGTGTGCCACGGGATGAAAGAGGCTGTGGAATGGTCTCAGTCGAGCCGGTGTGACCTTCAGGCTGTAAAGGTGACTCGAGGGCAGAGCCCTCCCAGGTGCTGGTTTAGTGTGTGGGTTTGCTGTGCGCACCACTCAGCGGGGCAGTGCTGGTGAGGGCTGGTGTGGGCCCGGTGCCCCGCCCTCCCTGCAGTGGGGCCCCGCTGCCCCCCAAGAACAGAGGGGACACTCGGCTTTTCGCCCACGCAGAGCTGACCTGCTGGTTCGCCTTGGGGGCTGCAGGGCAGCCTCACCCTTCGGACCTACCAAAAAGCACTCAGTTTTGTGGTTATCAGCTTTCACGTGCTTAGTTAACGTACCGAGACATTTTTACTCTGTACATTGAATGGTTTGACAGCGTTTTTATGTTGGATTCCTTGTAATTGGAATGCTGAGTCACGGGCCAAGTGGCCCGAGTGTTCTCGTGAGCACCAGTTCTGTGTCCATCACTCGGTGGTTTGGTCTTTGACTGCAGATCCTCGAAGACCTGGATGAACAGACTTACATCATCACCCTCGAGGAAGAAGCGCTCCAGAGGCGGCTAAACGGTGCGTATGGGTTACGTGTTTAGACCGGGAAGACGCACTGGAGGGGAAAGACACAGCTTCTTGGGCCTTTGCGCTGTTGCCTTGCCCTGGTCACAGGACTGGTGCTGGGGGAGCAGAGGCTGGCTGGCTGGCGACCGTCCCTGTGCTGGCAACTGTCCCTGTGCCGGCGACCGTCCCTGTGCTGGCAGCCCATGACCCCGCTCTGGTGATGTCCCGGACGTCCTCTCCGGGTGAGGCTCCTGGGTGAAAAGTGGCTTTGACACAGAGGTGCTGGGGCGACTCTCTGAGCTGGGCCTGGGCCTTCTGTTGGAGTTGGGGATGCTGCTTGTTCGCAGCCGGTAATCGGGTAAGGACAGCACAGATTGTGAACTTCAGGTTTAAATTACTGATTCCTGTTGGCTTTAAATGAAGACCAATGGAGGCAGGAATAATGACCTGGCGACAGATGACACGGTTTGTGTAAGTTTTGTTTTGATTTTTACTTAGATGGTTTTCACCCTGCATACTTTTCTCTTAAGGTATACATTTTTAATATTGAAAACCCAGCACCAAAACCAGATTATTAATAGCTAACTGTATTTCAAGCTCATAATTCAGGAGTAGGTATGAAGTGGAAAGTTACTTTAAGTATGAAATATTGAGAAACAGGAAGAAATATACCTACTTTCTTTAATTACAAATAGCAAATTTAAACGACCAACCCAAGAGTGTTGATGACATTTCCCGCTTTGTTCTTCGGTGATGAAAATTCAGATGCTTCTCTGTTCTGGAGAATTCTCGTCAGTAATGCTGTGCATTTTGATACCATTAACTTTTAGCCTGGAACTACTTGTATCTTTTATTCTTCCATCATTTTAAAATACTTTAAGATCAAGCATATTTAATTCCAGAATTATAACCACAGTCAACACTGTCAGCTTTATAACGTTTCATTAAAGTGTAAATAGAACGATAAATTTGTCTCCCTTAGACAGTCGCTCTCCTGTGTAATAAACACGCCAGGGTGGTGAGGGGAGCTGTTGAGCAGATGCCTGGGGTGTGGGCCGCTTCCCCTAGACCGTGTGATGCTCCTTACCTGCGGGTCAGGGGCAGGCCCCGGGCGGGCGGGTGGGGGGGCATGGTGCTCTGTGCACAAGAGAGCGGGCGTTTGGGCTGATCAGCACCCAGTCAGGCCGGAGGCACAGCCTTTCCTCACTTTGCCCGTCCACAGAAGGGAAATTCGGTCACTCAGAGTCTTTCTGGGCCCTTCGGCTGCCCTTGTCAGAAGGGGTTCATGGCATCTAAAGGAATTAGAAAGGAGATCCTTGCCAGCAGGCTAATGTGTGTGAAAAGGGAACCAGGCCAGACAGACAAACCCGCATCTCGCGTCCCCAGTGTGGGGAGTGGGAGGGGCCGCGGAGGTGGGGCTGCTCGAGCTTCCAAGTCCCTTTGTCCTGTGAGGCCAGCCACAGGTCACTTCTGAGGGCTGGGTGGCAGGCACATCTCTGTGTCTTTCTGGGGAGACCCCCCAGCCCCCTGCCTTCCTGCTATTGGCCAGCCCGTTGCTGGGGTCCTTCTGTTCTTCCCGGTGGACTGGCGGTAGGACCCTAACCCACCAGGAAGACCCATCCTGCCTCGCTCAGCCGTCCTGTCACTGGAGAAGTCCGGCCCGCCCAGCACCCACTGCTTCTCCCACACCCAGCTGCTCACCTGGGCTCCGGCAGCGGTCCTCTCGTCCACTCTGGCTGTCTGCACACGCCTTGCGTCTCAGCCCGTACCCCTGACCCCCGACCCCATGCAGTCTGCCTGCCCAGTGCGCTCTCCTCCGTCCCGGGCTAGCCCCCCTTCCCCTGGACTGTGCTGTCTGCTCCCACCTGCTGTGGTATCTGAGACAGCGGTGCCCACCTGGGCGACGGCCGTGCCGGGGAACGTCCCCTGAGCCCCTGCAGGGTGGCCACCCAGCCCTGCCATTAGCGGCCGCTTGGCCTTCGTGGCTGCACAGGCTGCCAGCCTCTCTGCAGCCCACTTCCCGCGGGGCTGCGTGTCCCGTGTTATTCTGCGTCCGTGACACGCCCTCTGCGTCCTCCGGTGCATCCTGTCAGAGTCCCTCCAAAGCCCGTGTCCTGCTGAGGGGCTGTCTGCACCCCCCACTGGCCCCCCTTGTGGTCTCCTTGCAGTCGTCTCTCCCTGTGTCCCCTCCTGCCTCAGGGCCCCTCGATGGACTCACTGCTGCCCTTCGGCCGCCCTCAGCCTCGGGAGCCTGTGGACGTGATTCCGGCCCCCGCCCACCCCCTCCTGCTCACAGGGTCCCTCAGTGCTCCCACTGTGTGCCGTCTGGCCTCCCCGCGCTGCAGCCGCATCGGAGCCCCACCCTGGAGCAGGACCCCCCAGCGCAGGGGCTCCTGCCGGCCTAACCCGTGTCCTGGTCTCTGACCCTGCCCGGCACGGGCACGAGGTGCTAGCGGGGCCAGTGGCCATTTCCCCACGGGAGTGACAAGGGAGAGCACGTGAAAGATAGAGTCTTGTGGACGGAGTGCCCGGGAAAGGCCGTCGTGGGGACCCCTGAGGAAGAGCCGGGCCGAGGGCTCTCCGGAGGAGGCGGCCTTCCCGGGTGGGGAGCCTCGGGGCGGGGCAGCCAGGGCCCCACAGAAGGCCCTTCGGGCGGACGGCAGCCTCACCCAGGTGAGGAGGGTGGCGGGTCATTAGCACGTGAGGTGTGTAAGCAGCACGGGAGCGTTAATTGAAGTAATTAGCTTTGGTGAGTGCAGTCTGTGGGTGTCCGAGGCCACTTAGAAGTGCCGTGCTGCCTGGGAGTGCGTTTTGGTGGTTGAAGTTCAAAACCTTCACCGTTCTTTTAATGTGCTTCATGTAACAATGTTGTGGGCTTTGAACTTGATGATCCGGTGCGGTTTTGTGAGGCCTGTTTGCATCTTCACAGTGAAAAGTTAGTGCGTCCCTCTCGGTGGCAGTGACTCCCCTGCTCGATTCTAATCTCTTTGGAAGCCCTGTGCCACTGGGGCGGGATTCATTCTTTACTCTCAGGAGCGCAGAAGACGCACTTGTTTCCTTGCTGCTCAGGGTCGGGGTGTAATGCCTTTGCATCCTGGGAAACGAAGTGGTGAAAAGCCGCCACATCAGCCTTTTCACGCACCTCGGCGACCGGTCAGGAGCACTGTCCTCGTCTGTCCTCGAATCTTGCCGCTCACAGCGGAGTTCGGTTGGCCAGGCCGTTTGAGGTGACACTGAGGTGCAGGGAGGCATGGGTGCCCGCTCTCCTGACCGGTGGTGCCCACCGGGGCTCGCCCACCTCCCGGGTGGACAGCTGGCTCCTTCGCTCACCGCTTGCCTGGTGTCCCTTTCCTCATACCGCTGGCGATGTAAGGGAACTTCAGCCCCATTTCCTCCTGTGTTCTCATACATAAGTGCATCGCACTTTTATCTGGACTCTGAGTGGCCTCCAGTCTATCAGTAGTCACTCTGAGAACACTATTGACCATTGCGTATAGCACTGAAGTGAAAATATCTCAGATTTGCAGACCCTGGGCCAGTTCGAGAGAGGTCCAGGTTCAGACAGGCCAGGGGTGATCAAATGTCAGCTTTCCTGAGGAAGACACGTAGCAAAACTCTGGGCAGTGAGTGGCCCCTTCCTCGGCAGTCCTGTGATGGAAACACGTCTTGTCTTGACTTCCTGAGCTATCGGAAAAGGCACTAAATAGTTTCCATCTCAAGGCATCAACAACTGGGTTCGAAGGTCTGAACCAGAGAGGTGCCTTGTTACAGTTTATTCCGCTCTCTGGGGCCTGCTGTCACTTTGTAGTGACGCTGGAGTGTGTCCCAGACAGGCCATTCGTTGCCAGACGAGGTGCCGTGACTGGAGAGATGGAAGCTGGCGCGCCACGCCCAGATGGGGAGTACTGCAGGGTGACGCAGTGTAACGCAACTTGGAGTCACGTGTCAGACAGCCTCAGGAATTCAGAGAGCGGGATTGCTCTGTGTAATGGCCCCAAGTGTCTTAGCAGAAGATGCGTGTCACGTACATGAGCTGCAGGTTCGACCACAGCCTGTTTGGAGAACGGTGTCTCGATGGGGATGCAGAGAAATCTGAAGTTGAGAAACAGTCTAGGTTAAGGTCTTCAGCATCGACCAAGCGCTTGTATCTAAAGTCGAATAAAAGCCGGTCGAGTCAGTTGTCCATAGCGTTACGGATGTTCCTGAAGCTCATCACTTAGTGCTGTCTGCCCTGCTTGTAATCGCTTATAACGGAGGTGCATTTGCGTTTCCATAGTTGTGTTGGAAGTTGGGTGTTTCTGGGTTGCGCACCAAGCCATATACCTGTGGTTATGTCAGAAGTAGACAGAAGCTGTTTTTTAAGCCAGTATCACATTGCGAGTGGAACAGAATGGGAACTGGAGCGTCAGGATGTGAGGGCTGTGGCCTCCGCTGTGGGGGGCAGAGGCACCGCAGGGGCGGAGTCCCTACCACCTTTCCACAGCTCTGGGGGCAGTTGCCTCACCCGTGCGGGGTGGTGGGCAGGCCTGGTGCGGGCGTAGGGGGTGGAGACTGTGTGCTCAGTGGCCTGTTGGGTGTCTTGGGACACAGTAGCAGCGGCATTTGCTTGAGCCACTCGAAGTGACTGGCAGGACTTGGGGGCCCCCCTCCTTGGTGTGGGAGAGCACCCTGGTTGGCCAGCAGTGAGGAACAGAGTCTAGATTTCGAAGAGTTGCTGCCAGATAACAACAGGTCTTCTGCCTGAGTCTTTCGGTTATGTGCTGGATTGCAGAGTGAAGTGGTCTGTCCTAGAAGCCCCTGCCCCACTCATGGCTCACCGTGGGGCTGCACTCAGGGGCTGCGCTGTCCGGGAGACATGTGTGCTGCTGGCTGAATGTTTTTGGGTGGTTTGCACACAGAGCAGAGACTCAGATTTGTCTGAAGAAATCAGACATCGTACATTTTAAGCCAGATAGTTCGTGTCTGCCCTTGAACATGTGTCTGTCAGTTAGGGCTGTCTGATGTGCGGAGAGAAGACACACCTCAGTGGTTGGGAAATGCTGGGCTTTGGGAAATCCTGTTTTCTTGGAAACAGAGTATCAAAACACTTTCCATAGCACGTGAGTCTTCCAGCCTCAGAGGAAAGCCGGGAAAGGTTGCCTTCAGCTATCAGTTTTCCTGAATCCAAGGCGATGGGTGGGGCAGGATCAAAAATACTTACTTGATCAAAGTTATTGGCTCTGAAGTCATCCTTCCCGATGTAAGGAAGATGAAAGGTATTGTTTTTATTGCACGCTAGTAACAGTGTAATTTTGAACTAATTGGTGTTGAACTGCCAATCACCTGGGGGAATGCAAATAGATACTCTTACAGTTTCCTTTGAGGTAGGGAAACCTTGTGTCGAGGCTGGAAGGGAAACAGAGTAATACCGTTAAATTGACCTTAAACGAGCTGCCTGTGGTTGTTTTGGAGAACCCCTTTTTATTTTTCCCGACTCGCCCAAACAGGTTTTGTCTGCCAGTTTGCCTTACCGACTAGACAGCTGCCGCGAGCGTCCAGCCCGTTCTGAGATGAGGTGGCCGTGGTGCTGCTCTGCAGGGTGTCGTGGCGATGCTGCTGGCTCGCCCTGAGTCCATGTCATGTGCCAGGGCTGTCTGCGGTGGGCGGGGCTCCTCCCCACGCACGGCCTTCGTGGTGCTGTCCTGGGCGCTCACCGTGCAGGGCCCCACCCAGACGGGAGGCCCCTGTGCTCACCTAGGAGATGCTGCTGTGCCCAGCGACAGGAGTGTCTTTGAGATCTCTTACTCCTGATGAGCCTGGCTGTGTCCTAGAAGCACAATTTCTTTGAGGACAGTACGAATGTTTTCCTGATGTTTGTGTGAAGTTAGTATTTATTAACTGCCTACTGGGTGCCTCGCACTGTGTTACCCAAAGTAAGCACACGGCATTTCAGAAATACTGCTTTCGTCATTTTCCTTGGAAAAATAATACTTGGGTCAGTCTAGGCATTTGTGCTGAGGTTCGTAGACATCGTGCCTACAAAGTATGCACGTCCTTCCCGTGTTTTTAAAGTGGCGGCAGCAGCAGCATCGTTACCCTGACCCACACCCCCTTTCCGAGTCCTGGATGCCGTGGGGTTATGTCTGTGGCACTGCACCAGCCGCCGGAGTAACGCCTCTTGACCCGTCCAGGGAAGGGGCTACAGTTGGGAACTGTGTTGGTTGTTAATCAGACACAGAACTTAACTGGGCACTAACTACAGAGACCCACTGTGTAACTTACACAAAGTGGGGCAAAAGGTAAAATGTACTTACTAAGACCTTTACATTTAAGGACACTTGAAAATCTTACAATGCTGTGGCACTTCACTGTAAGTTCCTTGCTATATGGAAACATCCATTAGCCTGGTAACTTGGTTATTCCCCTCTTTGCTCTGGCTAGCAGAAACGCTGAACTAGATTTGTAGTTAAAATTGAGTAGTTTGGGGGCACTCTACCCGGACATCTCGGCTCTGTGCTCACCCCCGTTCCCTTGTAAGTTGTATATTGACGTGAGAGATGATCCCACTCGGGTTCTGGGGACACTGAGAACATCCAGGGTGTTCAAGGCCCCCGGCTTCCCCAGTGGGCGGGCGGAGGGGCAGCACTCACCTCTCCCAGGGACCTGGGCAGGGCTGCAGCTCGGAGCCGGGCCCTGAGTCTCCTCGTGCACCCTGGGGCCCACGGCCCGTGTGGGGCGGGGGCTCCTCCTGCAGCCCCTGCCTTGGGGGTGAAGTGCTGCTTGCCCCCCGAGAGGCCCCCAGCATGGAGACTTATGCCTCCCAAGTCTGTGTTTCTGCCCACGTCGCCCCCTGTCCCCAAGAGCTTTCCCTCCACGTGTGTTTGTCGCCGGCTGAGGGCTGGTCCAGCCTGGTTAGGGGAGCAGGGCGCAGTGGCAGTGAACGAAGGGAGATGGCGCCTGTGCGGGCCGAACACCTCGGGGGCTACGTCTGTTGTGCTTGTGCAGTGAAGTGTCACTGACGCGGCGTGACCCTCAGTAGGCGAACGTATGTCTTCAGTCCGACGCTCTCTTTGTTTCTTCTGTGTAAGCGAGGCAGGTGAAAACCGGGAGAGAGCGGAGCTCAAGGCGCAGACAGAATTTAAGTTGGGAGGCATCAGACACTAGGAGGCTCCTTACGTGGTGGTGGGAGGCGCGGCTCATGAGGAAGACGGCCCCGTCTCCCAGGGACAGAAAGGACTCAGACTAGTGCAGACACGCGGAAAAACCAAACCGTGGAGAGCCTGACCAAGTGAAGCTCTAAGGGGGGCTTTAATCTTTCTGTTTCCAGATTCAGCAGGTAATGCAGAAGGAATATGGAGGGACATAGACCTTTAGAGAAACAGTCAGAGAACGTGAACAGGGAGAACCCACGTGCTGGCTGGGCACGGAAGGTGCTCGACCGCCTCTGGGGAGGTGCAAGTAACAATAAGGAAACGTCTCTACGAGTCGAACTGGCAGAAACTGAAGAGTTATAACGTCCAGTGCCAGGGAAGATGGGAAAATAGATGCTGTCAAAAGCTGTTGGTGGGAATAAAGTATTACATTAACTGAAGCTATGATAACAAATTATAATATTTGAAGGGAAATAAACTTTAAACATCTCTTATCTGTAAATCACGCCCTCCGCCTCAGCCGTCTGAGTTTCGGGAATCCGGCCTACAGAGACAAGGGATTCAGGGTGTACTGGACATACATAGAGAAATGTCCACTGCAGCGTTGTTTGTGCTGGCAGAACATTGAGGAGAACCTGGATAGTGACAAGTGGAGTAACTGTGAATAAAACCTAAGGACACCCGGCCTGTGGAATGGGACTCAGCTGTTAGGGACTTGGCCCTGCCCACATGACTGTGTGACTGGGTCGGAAGGACGGGGTGCCCTGATGTGACAGACTGACCTGTTCTTATGAAACGGGTACAGAGTCCACGTGGGTGTGTGAGGCTCACGTGAGCATGCGACTGTGTGTATGGAGGTGGGGATGGTGTGGTGGGGCCCACCAGACTGATAGCTATGGTCACTGGGGGTGGGGTGGGGAGGGGACATTGACTTCCTCTTTATAATAAGCACGTGATACTCTTACAACTGATACAGATTAATAATAGACCAAGTAAGAGCCTTACCAAAGTAGCACATTTTCTAGGAAACGTGTCAGATGTGGAAGTGTTAAGTGGTAAAAAAAGGATGTGCTTTCCTGTGGGCCACGGCAGCCTCCTGTTCATCCTCATAGGGTCCTGACTCATAGGGTGCCACTGTTACACTGTAACTGTGGGTGCCACTTTTTCATTGTAATGAACCGTGGGTGCCACTGTTACACTGTAACAAATCATGGGTGCCACTGTTACACTGTAACAAATCATGGGTACCATTGTTACATTGTAATGAACTGTGAGTGCCACTGTTACATTGTAATGTATTGTGAGGCTGCCTGTTCTGTGCTCCTAGTTCTGTTGTTCTGCTTCTGAAGTAAGTATTTCTGCTTCCGGCAGGGTTGTCTTCGTCAGCGGAGCACTCTGCAGTGGCGTTGCAGCAAGAGCTGGAAAATGTGAAGGCTCTGAAGACGAAATTAGGTACGGCACGTTTTTTCCTTGACTTCCATTTTGGTCTTGGTGTTTTATTAAAGACTTTTCCTGTTTGAAATGTTCAAAAGTTGTAAACTCTTTGTTTATATTACAAGCTTTCATTCTGTCCAAAGCCATCGAGAAAGAGTGTGCGTTGGTTTGGGCAAAGGCTAAGCCTATATTTATACTCACTTTTTTTGTTTTGTGTGTGTACAGAATGAACTTTTCAGACATACCTGTGTTCACAGGTGTTGCTCCCTTGCCTTTCACGGGACCGACTCCAACCACAGCGTTGCTGGCCCCCCACCTTTCACTGTGTCTGTGTCTTCTCCTCAGACCCTCTTCACCCCAATATAGGGCGGTTGGTCTGTGATGTGCCTCTGAGAAGCTTTCTTTGTTTCCCATCCTTTGGGTTCATTGACTTCTTTTTGACCTGGGAATTTATAGTTTTCATCTAACATGGACAGTTTTTGCTATTATTTCTCCGAATAGTTTTCCTTCTTCTGTTGGTGCCTCCCTTTTCAAGGGCTCCGTGAAGTGGCCCCACAATTCAAGGACATTCCCTTGTTGTTCATGTTTTCTGTTTGCTCCGCGTGGGTCAGTTTGGATGGTTTCTGCGCCGTCTTCATGCTCACTGACCTTTCTCTGGAGCGTCTGACCTGCGCTGGATCCCACCTACTGCCCTTTCCAGATGCCGCGGTCTCCCTCTCGAGGTTCTGTCCAGGCCTGCCCTGCGTCTCCCACCTGCCCAGCGAGTGTGTTCGGTCTGCGTGCCGCGCCTTTCGGAGTGTGCAGGGTGCAGTGCAGTGATGCTTTCAGTGTCTTTGTCTGCTCCCCCGAACACTGTGTGTGTCCTGGAGAAGTTTCCATCAGCGGACTTACTGTGTTCTGTGCTTTTTTGCATGCACGGGCGCTTTTGATGCACAGTAGGCCCTGTGAGTCTTGCATAGCTTCGTGCTGGTACTTCTGTGCTCCTGTGAATGCGGAGCTTGTTCTGGGCTGCAGCGCAGTTACACAGAAATAGTCGATGGCATCAGGGCTTGCCCTGCAGACTTGGTAGGCTGGACTGGAAGGGCACTCCTCTGAGCTAGTGGTGCCCCGCTACCAAGACTGGGCCCCCTCAGCGCTCTGCCCAGTGCCCCTGGATCTCAGGGATGTGGCATGCTTCTTGGCCCTTTGTGATGATCAGATGCTCCTTCTCTTCTTCCTTCGGGTGGTGCTTCCATTGGCCAGGTGTTCTCTCTTGTGTGCCTGAGTGGGCGTTGCCCTCCACCCTCCTTGGAGTTCTCTCTCTGTGCAGTTGTCCCCTCTTGGATGCTTTGCCCAGCGAAACCCTTCTGGCTTGGTGTCTCCAGACTCCTGTTGCATGTCCTCCCCTCCAGGCACGCATTGGGCTCCACCCAGTCCTGCTCCCTGCACTGGGGCTGGAATTCTCTTCAGACAGCAAGCCGGGACAGACACAGGGATGTTCTACTTGTGTCCCCTTCCAGAGACCTCTGTCCCTCAGTGACCAGTGTCCAAAGGCCTTGAAAACTGTCGTTGCACATGCTGGTATGTTTTGGCTTCTTAACTGTTTCAGGCAGATGGGAGCTCTGGTCCCTGTCATCCCTGTTTTCATGAGTACAGGCCCAGCACCCTGTCGGCAAAAGTCATCTCTGCAGTTCAGTCACGTTCACAACTGGCATCGTTGTATCGCCGGGAGTCGCTCTCTGCCTCCTGCTGTTGATGAGCCTGTGATGTGTTTCCAGTCTTGTGCTGCCCAGAGTGGTGTTGATGTAAATGCTCTTCTGCACATCTCTTGGTTAGAAGTGGACTAGTGGGGTCACTGAGTATGTGCGTGTACAGCTTGTTCAGACGTCGCCCAGCTGCTCTCCCTGGCGGCTGTGTCACTTTGCGTCCCCACGGGGCCCCTGGGAGGCCCCTGTGGCCGCACATCAAGGGCAGCAGGCGGCCGTGCTGGGTGCGGTGCGGCTGCTTTGGAGTCTCAGTTTGTGTGGGCTGCTCTGTGCTGCTGGCATTTGCTTATCTTCCACTTGGGAAATGCCTGGGCGGGTTCCACGTAGTGCTGGTTTGCTGGCCACGAGTGCTCGCTCAGGTTTTGTCTGTCTGGAAACATTCGGGCCCTGCTTTCTTGTTCATAGGGCGTTGGTGCTGCCATGGGATCCTCACTGGGTGGTTTCCACACTGGGCAGATGTCGTCCCAGGGTCTGGGGTCTGCCTCAGAGCCGCGTCGCTGCCCTTGGAGGGGCTCTGAAGGTTCCCTTTGGTCTTCGTCTTCCTCCTAATCTGTCTGCCGCTTCTCTGTCTTTGCTGGTGCGACTGTCTTCAGAACTCTCAAACTGTTACTTTGGGCTACAGTATTTCTCAGTCGTAGATGTTCCCGTTGATTGTTTTTCTGCACTCAAACTGTGACACTTACGGTCTCGTCATCTCCCTCACTGAGCCTCTTAATCGGGCAGCGGAGGCCGCTTCCTGCTGAGCCCAGCCGCCGGGCCACCTGCAAGTCTGTTGCTAGTCTCTCTTTTTTGGTTCCGTCTCCTTATGCTGTTGGATTGAATGCTAGATGTTTCTTAGCATAACCGCAGAAAAGTGGATGGTCTTTCCCCTTTTTGAGAGGACTGACTCTGTTTCCGGTAGGCAGTTAGAGACGGGACAGATCTGTTTGGTCCGTCCGGGCCGGGGGTCATCTGAACTGGGCGTTAGTGTTCACCGGGGTTCCTCCCGGGCCCTGAGAGCCCGCTGTTGCTGGCTGTCATGCCGCCTTCCCTGTGGGCCCTGAACCCTGGTTTTCTCCTGCACAGACCAGGAGCCTGACAGGGCTGCGCTTGGTTGGCTTCTCTGCCTCTGAGCGGCACCCTCCCTCCTGCCCTCCTCTCAGCCGCCACCAGGAGGCCTCGACGGGGATGGTGGCTGCCTGTCAGATGCTCATCCCCTTTCCTCTTCTCCCCGTGCCCTGCCACTTGAGTTCTGGCTGCGTGGCTGCCCCTAACGCCGATCTCTGTGTCCTTGGCTCCGCGGAGTGTGCGGGAGGCTCTGCCACGGCAGGTGGGCTTCCCTCGGCCACTGGTTTCTGTGAGCTCTCAGCTCTGCGGGGCGGGCAGTTTCCTCCTGGCATGTGGTGTGACGGGGCGTGTTCTTTTCCGTGCATCCCCCATACCACAGGCCCCTCCGTTTTGATTGCCGTGGTGGCTCTCTGGTGCCTCTCGCACAGCTACTGAAGGGTTAGAGTTATTAAAGGGTCCAGCTGTTCATGGTGTGAGGGCTGGGGCGACGGGGGCAGACCTTGTAGGGGCCAGCGGGAGCCTGCTTTTGGGAGACGAGGGGCGGGGTTTTCCTGCTGCTGCTTCATTCACTCAGACCTGAATCGGTGTGGGGGTCCGCTGTCACATAGGGTTTTTCTGCACTTTCAGAGTAAGCCGTTCATGGACCGTTGATTTCATCACAGAACTGAAATTCAAGCATCACAGGCTTGAACTGTGTAATGTAGTAATCTGGTTTTAAAACTCTGATTTCTATAATTTGTAAAGGAGACCTTTGAATTATTTATGCTCTTTTTAAAAGAACTTACGTAAAAGTAACAGCTTGGTTGTAGTGGGAGGACCTGCACCTGGAGACTGTCCTTGGCAGCCACTGAGACCTCGTCCTGCTGTCTCCCCTCCCACTAGAGCGGCGGAAGAAGGCGTCAGCCTGGGAGAGGAACTTGGTGTACCCTGCTGTCATGGTCCTGCTCCTCGTCGTGACCGTAAGCGCAGCCCGGCCCGGCCGTGGAGAGCACGCGAGGCCGAGACGCCCACCTCGCCGTCCTCGCGGGGCGGCCCCTCCGCCGAGCGGGTCGGGGAAGCCGGTGTCTGCCAGTGAGGTTGCACGCATCCATGCCGTCATTCGCACACACTCGACGGAGCAAAAACAGACACCAGTGTGATCGGGAAGGGGTCTGGAGCTTCTCGGTTTCTTCACGAAACCAGGGAGTCCGTCCTTCCATCTCATTAGCCGCCAAGAAGAGACAGGGCGCTGCAGACGCCGCTGTGGACTCTGTGACGCGGTGTGAAAGCCACATTAAGAGAGTAGTTTCGGCAGCATTTCAACCCTTTTAAAAACGTGGGCAGTTTTGGACCTCCAGTCGGGGAAATCAGTCAGTAAATGGATCTACTACGGTATTAGCTTTTATCCTGAGCTTTGAGGCTGGGGTAGTTTACAGGGTCCTTCAGAATTCACTCTGGAGTGTTCGCAGACAGTCCGACCACTCCAGGCCCACCTGCAGAACCGTGGTCCTGACCGCCCTTCCTCGTCCCTGAAGGACGCGGTTGGACGGCCACGCACGTCATTGCGTGTGTGTGTGTGTGTGTGTGTGTGTGTTGGCCAAGCGGCTTGGGAACGGAGGGCTGACGGCTGACTTTTTGTTTTGCAGTCCATTTCGGTTCTCCTGGTGGCTTGTAATATCCTCCGCCTGTTGGTCGATGAAACGGCCATGCCAAAGGGGACAAGGGTAAGGTATAATGTTTTAGAATGCCCCTCTTTTGCAAAAGTGTCCTGCACGTACATCCCGTTTCAGATAAGCCGGTGGGAACAGTCGCCCTCCTGCCTGCATGTTCTTCACGTGTGCACGTTTCTTCATGTGAGCAGCCTTCCCGGGCGGGGCTGGCAACTGAGATTTTGTTGCTGACCTCCTGCTTTGGATTGCCTGGACCTTTTGTCAAGAGTCAGAGTTTCATTTACACTTTATATGAGAATATATCTTTGTTTTACTGAAATACATTGCCTGTGAGTCTGTGAAGTAATGACATGTGAGGAGTTTCCTAAATGGATTCACTGGGTTTTATGAAAAAGAATCACATGTTTTATGACACCGAGTCAAAGCATTTGGTTACTGGAGGAGAGTCAGAGGTATATTTTTATAAATTAACTTACTTTCCTCTCTTGTTTAAAAATGGATACTTTTATTAAATTCTGTGAATTAGCTGATTTGAAAATATTCTCTGTAAAGAAGGTAATTACAGTTCTGGCTGGTGCGGCTCAGGGCTTTGAGTGGCAGCTGGTAAACTGAGAGGTCACCGGTTGATCCCCAGTCAGGGACAGGCCTGGGTTGCAGGCCAGGTCCCCAGTAGGGGGCGCTCGAGAAGCAGCCAATCACTGTCTCTCTCCGGAGTTGATGCTTCCCTCCCTCTCTTTCTCCCTCCCTTGCCCTCTCTCTAAAAATAAGTGAATAAAATTTTTTTAAAAAAGAAGGTAATTAGAACTACATATTCATATTTGACATTGTTTTTCTAGATGTTTCCATAAACTTTTGGATAAAGTAGCATTTTAATTTGACATTTCAGTATGTTTTCTAAGTCAGCCACTTTTCCCATTCCCCATAGAGGGGACTTCGGACTCTTAACTTTTGATGCGCTTCTCTCTCTGAACCAGAGGGTAAACTTGTCCTCTCAGAGAGAAAGGCCATTTTCTGTCCTAATTCCTTCCCTTCAGTCCACCTTGACACCCGTTCTTCCCAAGGCTGATCCTTGTAGCCACAGTCTCACTGTACACCTTCCTAGGACGCCGCACCGTCGGTTACCATCATGGTCCCCACACTGGTGTGGGCCCCCCCTCGGGCTCCAGCACCTCTTCCCACTAACAGATCGTGGCAAGAAGCAGCCTGCTCACCCACAGCCTTTGTCTGTGGTTTAGACCCAGTCCTGCCGACAGAGCCACAAGTCACCTGCGGTGTTGGCTTCTGTCCCCTTTTTAGCCCACTGCTGTACACCGCACTCCAGCTGAGTCCTACGTCCCACAGCACGGTGCCCAGTGGGGAGGGACCGCACCGGGCAGGCCCCCTTCTCTCGACATGGAATGTTTCCAAAATGCTTTTCATCCCCGTTGCTGGGGAGGAAGATTTCTTCTTCTGCCTTTCTAGGTTCTTCTGGCTGGTCTCAGAGCTAAACCGATGTGACACAGAAGAGCAGGAAAAAAACGAATTTCGTTACGCACACACGTAAGGAGGCCCCGTAGAAGGGAGACCTCAGGAAATGGTCACAGCCTGTAAATGTGAACCATGGTCAAAGCCGTCTGTGCATCGTTTCTAGAGAAAGAAACAATTACTCGTGAAGGTTGCATGAGACAAACAAAGGGTTTGTGTTTCAGTTGACAACTTAATAAAGAAGTGACAGAGTTTGTCCCGTGACCTCTGCCCCAAACTCCCTCTCTGGCCACGAGAGCACCCTGGTCCTCCCGGCCGGGGTGCTATGCTCCTTGGGCCTGGGGGGCGAGGGGAGGCCAGAGGGTGCTGGCGCCACCGTTCCTCCAGTGCCTGATTTGAAGCGATTGATGGGCTGCCTCGCGTGTTTTGGGGGGATCTTCCCGGAACCCGTCAGTCAGTGCGCTCTCTCGGTGTTGGCATGAGTCAGTTCTTCTTCAAAAGATCCACAAAAGTCAAGAAATTCTTTGTCCTTAGTTACGCATGAATTTTCCATGGCTGTACTTATTTCTTTATACCTAAATTAAAAAGTATATAAAACACATATATACGGTAAGGTTTTATTTTATTATTTAGAGAGAGGGAAGGGAGCAAGAGGGGCAGAGACATTGATGGGTGAGATGCATCACTTGGTTGCCTCTCGTATGCACCCAACTGGGCAGCTGGCCCAAACCCAGGCATGTGCCCTGACTGGGAATTGAACCGGTGACCCTTTGGTTCTCAGGCCAGGCTCAATCCACTGAGCCACACCAGCCAGGTCAAAATACTATATTACTTATCAGTTTATTTTTTCACAGTGTGACTATACTTTCTAAACCATCCTGGTATTTCTGTTAGACCTAATAAAAGCTGATAGTAAAATAAGTCATGTATATTCATGTAGTTCCTTTAGTTATTAAGCTGTGAAAATATTATTCCCACTTCAGTAAGAAATAATATTTTTTGCCTATTTGATCTCCTTGACATATACTACTTTTCTCTTTGTTGTTTTTTTAAGTCCCAGATAAAGATAGGTTTTGAGAATAGGTGTAGTGTTTAGGAAAAAATTTATAGCATTACATTAAAAAAATCTGGGTTCCTTAAGTTATTATATCTTTTAAAACTCTGACTATCCAAGGAAGGCTGGGGGCAAGGGAGCCCCAGAGGTAGGAACAGGGCTGTGCACACTCCCGCCCTTCCTGGCCTCACTCTGGACACATGCTCCCTGAGTGATTTGTATGCGCTGCCTCAGGGTAGGGCTAATTATATATTGTATTCCTATTGTACTAGTAGGTTTTTAAAAGATTTCTTCCAAGACTAGTCAGGATTTCACACTACACATAATCCCATTAGTTTGATAAGTAACTTAAATTTGAGATAAATCAGAAATGGTTTGAGCTTGTTAAAATTGTTAACATGTGGTTGAATTAGTTAATGAACTTGGTTTGATGTCTCGTTCCATTTGTCCTTTAAAGTCTAGATGTTATTCCAGGGTGTTAACCCAAATTTCAACCGTCCCGTATTTATGAAACAACAATTTTAGGGAAACCAAATGTAATGGTGTCACTGAATTCTGAAAGAGTTTCTTTTTCCCCCCAGGGGCCTGGGATAGGAAATGCCTCTCTCTCTGCTTTTGGTTTTGTGGGAGCCGCACTTGAAATCATTTTGATTTTGTATCCTTTCTTCAACGGAACATTCTGTCTGTTAACAAGTTTTCTGTCTAGTTTTCTGGGACAGTGGCAATTCACTAAGACACTTGCCTGGAAGAAAAAACAAGCCATTCTTCCCCAGGCACTCCAAGTGGCCTTGGGTTTTGTGTTGTGTCCCCTCCGGGCCTGCAGACTGTGCAGCCCACTGAGAGCTGGCGCGGCCGGCATTCCTGGGAGGCTTTCTCCTTGACTCCCACAGCTATCTCATGGTGTCCTCTGTCGTCGGCTTCTATAGCCTCCGGGGTTTCGGAGACTTTCTTCCCAGAAAGGATGACACGACCATGACGAAGGTAAGGTCAAGTCTCAGGTGGTGGCGCCTCCCCTTTGCCTTGCAGACCAGAGTGTTTTATGGAGTAATCGCTCCGAATGGTTCATTTGCTCTGATAGGTATTTGTTTGTAAGTTGCGTAAACACAAACTGGAAGATTGTCAAGGCGCTGACCGAGTGGGAAAAGGCTGTGCTCTGTTTAATTTGGACGGCGTCCATTCACTTGGAAAGGCGCGGGCGCAGAGCTGGTTAGCTGGCTGCAGAGGGCCCCTGAAAGGACCCTTTTTCCTCCAAAGAAAACCTCTGCTAATGAGCCACTCGGGCAGCGCTGACCGTGTTTCACGGGCTTGTTTGAGGTCTGAAGAGCCTTGTTGCTGCAAGTAGCAGAGACCAAGTATTTCAGATTTGAATAATTAAAGCAAGACGGAAGAGTCCTATTCAGAAACGTTTTGCAGTCCGAGGCTGATTTGACTTCTTACAATGCGTCCTTGGCTTCGGAACGTCCTGGGATGTTGTACGCGGCGACCGCGGCTTTGGGAAGCGTTCCCACAGGCTGACAATGACGAGTAACTAAGGAGAGCTGTTGGCTTCTTTTATTTGGGGATACATTCCATATTGTTGCCCTATTTTAAGAACGACTGTATTTTCTCTTTATTTATTTGTCTATGTACCTATTTATTGATATATCTAAAGTACTACGAGTTCTTGAGATCCTTAGCATCTAGTTTAAGTAATCACAAGTATTAATCAGTATTTTCAGCTCTCACTTATGGAAGAGTAAGCATAGTTTACACAGAAAATGAGTTACTAGATTTATGTGTTTTGAACTTCTAGCTTTTTGGTATTAAAATTTTATGATATTTAAACATGTTAGAAGTAAATCTTATATATGTACCTTGGGCGGTGGTTGGTTTTAAAAATAGAGTCGGAAATATTAAATGTATTAATTCTTTGCTGCCCGGTCCACGGCAGGGCCTTGTGAAAGGGCAGCCCAGGCGGTAACTCCAACACACTGTCTGGGGCGCGCAGTGACCAAAGCGTCTGTGAACTTGTGTCCGTGCCCGGCGCTGTGGACGTTCCCTAGAACTTACAGGCAGGGCTTTAGATGTGCCCAGAGGCTTTTCCTCGTGTCTAAACTCTGTAGTGGACGGCATGCAAAGCGGTTAGCGGTGTGGCAGGACCCTGGGATGGGCAGCGCCCTCCCGGGAGGCGGTGGGTTTTGTTTGTCACCTTTTTGCTGACCTGCCTGGCTTTCCTCACCCCCAACCAGATCATCGGCAACTGTGTGTCCCTATTGGTCCTGAGCTCCGCACTGCCTGTGATGTCCAGGACACTGGGTGAGTTTTCGGGGCGCCTTTGTCCAAGGGCTGTGTCTCCGCTCAGCTTTCCTCTCTGCTCTGATTCCGAAAGGCCGAGCCCCCTCCCATAATGCTTTGCACCTCATGGGCCTCATTGTGTGGGGCCGCACCAGAGGGCACTTCTACTACATGGAGTCCATTTACTTTTTTAAACTATTTAAAAATATGTCTCTTCAAACAGTTGGCTTTTTTTTGTTTACCGACTAGTTAAGCTTCTGAATTTGTAGTGAGGAAACTGCTTCGTTGTTGTTACATTTTTATTTATTTTATTATTTTATTGTTGTTCAATTACAGTTGTCTGCATTTACCACCCCCCACCCCAGCTATGTTTTTTAAAAAGTGTTTAATGTTTAGAACATATCAAACCAATTTTTCTCACACGAAAAATTTTAAGAACTTATCATTTAGTACGTGGTGGAGGAAACTGGGATCTGTCTGACTCATCTTCAGCTGCTCTGTGCCCATGCAGCAGCCGGAGCCCGCGGGGAGCCCGCGCTGGTCGGAGGGGCTGCCCGGTCTCTGGGGCCTCCCGCGCCTGCCCTCCGAAGTTTTCTCAGTGTGTCAGTGGACAGGATCGTGACTGTCTTTAAAAGTGAGGCGTTTCCCTTTGTCTCGAGAGTAGCCGGAGATCTTCACGTGGCCTTTGTACTGCCTGTGTGGGCTCTGCCTGCGCAGCTCTCGGCTGGACGTCGCTGCAGACAGTCCGCGGGAGCTCCGCTTGGTCTCCAGACTCGGGGTTCGACCCGAGAGTGCTGCCGGTGGTCAGGGAAACCCCATCATCTGGCCTGGTTGTGGCTCACGAGGGGGGTCACCAGAGACTCCGAGTGGCTTTGATTCAGCCCTCCCATCACATCGCTGTTTACTCGGGACCCAGGTGAGAGGGTGCGAGCTTCAACGTTCCCATCACCTCTGTCATTCTTCTGGGGGGGCCGTGCTCTCACAGAGAGCGAGGGCTCTCCGTACCTGCAGAGGGGCTGCTCTCTGCGCACTCACACAGAGCTCGTTCATCCCGCACTTCTTTTGTGTGGGCTTCATAAGGCCAGTCGCTGTTTTCCCGTCCGCTTATCATGTGCGAATCTTGCAAATGCCAAAGGTGCACTTCTGAGACTCGATTGGTAGCTAATTGTCCTATGTACAGTCACTTTGCCATTTATGAAACTCACCGTGCTCTGAATTTTAAAATTCTTTTTTTAAATTTAAAATTCTTAACAGTTACACTTACTGCTTCTACAGAAGAAAATTACATGCTGAGTATAGTTTTAATACAACAAAGACAAATTAATGGTAAAATTTGCGTTTGAAGATCAGCACTTTAAATTCCTGAGTAGTTTGCCGTAGAGATAAATAAGAGGAAGAAGCAGAAGATGGAACAATTGGAACGCGGCTCACAAACGCCGGCCCAGCTGTCCAAACAGGATTAGCCGGGGCAGGAGGGGCAGCGGTCACGTGTGCTGTGCGCGGCGGCACGCACGCTCGCCCGCTCTGCCGGTGGCGCTGAATAGATGAAAAGGAGTAAATGCCCTGAACAGATTCACGGAGGCTTTTCACAGGCTACAAAAGCAGATTTCTAGACTAAAAGAAAAAGCTTTATTTCGGCCTGATGGGAAATGCAAACTCGAGAGTTACTTTGTAATTCCTCTATTAACTCTTTAGAAGTGAGTCTTTGATTTTAAGAAGATAAAATATAGAGATTGTCACGAATATTACCCTACTGTATAACGGGATTTTGATTTACTGGCTGAAAAGCTTATCCGACTAGAATAGAGGGTGTGTGGAACCACCAAATGCCAGGCCGGGCACTTCGCTGTCCTGCGCTGCCCCTGCCTCCCCGGGAGCCCGGCAGCTCGGGGCCGCGTGGCCTCCCTGTAGCCATGCGGCTTTCCTCTCCCTTGAACAGCGTCTTAGTGACGACTGCAACTTCAGTTACCAGTTGAAAACATATCGAGTCCTGCATACAAAGTCGGTGAGGTGTTCTGTGGTTTTTTAGAAACATTTGCCCGCTCCTGTGGTTGCTGCCCCGTAGGCGTGGACCGTGGGCATGAACTATGGGTCTGGTGTGATACGGCACATTTATCAAAGACTGCTCTCAGAGTAGCTTCTTATATTTGAAAATGGTGCTAATTGCAAAATTAGTACTAATTGTACTAATTGAGAAATTACCACTACGTAGATTTTATAAGCACACCACTGGCCGCAAAGGTGTGTGGGATCAGTTTGACCATGTGTTTTTAGTCAAATGCAGTGAACATAGACGATAGCTTTATTATTTATAGGAAGCACAAAAAACGTTGTTTGCTGCTGCTTCAGGCTTCAGTTTTCAGGAATCCGACATCTGGGGAATCTGATGTCCGTGTTTTTAATAAACAATAGACCCTCCGGGTGACGGGAGGGGATGTTGGCAGGTATAGCCAGACCCAGTCAGGCCTTGCGGACACCCAGACCGTCCTGTGGTCACGTGTCGGGAGGGCGGCAGTGGCCTCTGCAGGGGCGGGTTTCGCCTGGCGGCCGCCAGGTTCTGCATTGAGCTTGATGGAGGAACAGCAGGGTGGCTGACAGGTTTCCGCTTCCGCGCTTGAAGCCTCCTTTACCCAGAACGTTCTTCTCCGCGGTAACCGGCAGACCTTCCAGTATTTTACTAATTTCCACTCTAAATTTGCTTTTGGAGTTCTTTCTTCGTCCTCAGGTCCTTTCTGTGACTGGTCAGTTAGACTGGGCACAGATGCCGGTGTTAAAAAACGTGCTTGTGACCTGAACACAGAAGCGCTCACCCTTTGAGTCGGCTTGAGTTCCTCTGTGTTGGGTCCACATACTCCCAATCACCATTCCATCCAGTCCGTCATCTTGCGGGAGATAATATAGATTATTCTCCGTTTGTTCCTCGGTGAAGGGATTCTGTGTAATCACCCTTTTTGGAGGGGTTTTTCGTTTGGGGTGCGGTCAGTACCTGGCTGGTCTTCACCCTGGGCCCTCCCCTCCAGTTCTCAGTGCGAGGCTCGGAAACAGCAAAGGCGCAGCAGAGGTGTCGATCATCACGTACACCCCCGACTACGACGTCGATGAAGAAATACTGATGATGCCAAACCTCGTCCTGAGAACTTCTCAGCAGGAAATTGGGGCCCGACTTCACCGTGTTCAGTTGTTTTGTAGAAAGCAGTCGGGGGTGGCACTGATGAACTTCTGATGGATCACCGGTGTCCTCAGGGCTGAACACTCCCTGTGTGTGCGTGGTTTGGGTTTTCGACCAGAGAAAGTGTCCCGAGTGTCCTCGAGATCAGAGCGGAGCCGCTGCCCGCCTGTGCACCCTCACTCCCCACGCCCACCGCCCTGGCCCCGGGCCTCACCCTCTCGCCTGAGGAAATGTCACAGCCACGCGTCATCCAGACAGCGCAGCTGTCTGTGGACATGCATCCGAGCACCTTCACGTGGAATTTGTCATGGACATTTCCTCAAAAGGCATGGACATGCCTCAAGATGCAGCTTTAAAATGCTGACAGTTAACACGGGATTGTAAACTGTGGTCAGGGGCCAATTTATACTAAGAACTGAGCGCCCAGCTGGCTGAGAACACCAGCAGGACACGGGCACACTGTCCCCCCGAGACCGGGCGGCACCGCAGTGGCAGCAACATCGCTGCTGGGCCTGGTGGGAAGGGAAGGTGCTGTTGGCCTGTGCCAGTCCCCGTTGTGTGTGTGTGTGTGTGTGCACGCGTGTGTGTTGGAGACGTGTGTGTGGACCAGAGCGCCGGCTCTGCGCTGCTCTCACTTGAGGAGAAGCTGTGGTCTGGCCCTGGACGGGAGAGTGCACTGCAGACACCGGTCAGGTGGGTTGACAGTGTCACCCACGTCCCCGTGTCCTCACTGAGCTTCCAGCCACTTGTTATTCCTATTGACAGAGGGATTTTGGAAGTTCCCTTAACTGTGGGTTTGCTCATTTCTTCCTGTAGTTCTGTTGGGTTTTGCTTCATGTACTTTGAAGCTCTAGCGTTAGATGCATAAATATTTAGGATCGTTATGCGCTCTTGACGAAGCGACCCTTTTCTGATTACAACGGTGGTGGTGACATTCTTTACCCCCGGTAATGCTCCCCGCCCTGAAGCCCCCTCTGTGTGAAACCGACACAGCCATTTTTGCTCCTCATCCTGCTCCTGGGGTTCACAGAGTGTGCGTTTGCTGTTCTCGTGAACCCCCCTCCCCCCGTCCTTGTCCATATTTAATTAGCTGGTTTTCGTCAGTCATGTATACTTGGGTCTTGCTTTCTTACCAGACTTTCGTCTTTGAGTTTGGATATTCAGACTATTTCCATTGAATAGGATTGTCGATACCATTGTTTTTGAGTCTCCTGTAACGCTGTGCATTTTCTGTTAGACTTGCCTCTTCTTTGTCCCCTGTCCCCTTTATCTGCGTCCTTCCGGACACGTTGCATTCCAAGAAATGACTCCCGGTCGGGGCACATGCCTGGGTTGCAGGCCAGTTCCCGGCAGGGGCTGACGAGAGGCAACCGTACATTGATGTTTCTCTCCCTCTCTCCTTCCCTTCCCCTCTAAAGATAAATAAATAATAATTTAAAAATCTTTAAAAAAAGAAATGACTTCACTTTACCTCTTTTGTTGGCCTACTTGCTGGAAGTCTTGGTTGTGTTATTTGAAGAGTCGTTCTCGTGTTTAGCGTGTGCATTTTAAACTCACTGTCATCTCCCTCCTGGTGGCAGAATCGCAGCTAGCATGAGAACCTCGCAGCAACGCACGGCTGACCCTTGGTGACAGGGTGGCGGGTGCCAGGTGGCCGCACGGTCCAAAGTGCTCATAGAACTTCCGACCCCTGGACCGGGCTGTGTTGGCGTTTTAACACACGGGCACATTTTACAAGTCAGTTGTTGCCACGGTGGAAGCATCTCAGAAGGTCAGCGGAGTGACTGTCCCGGCCCCCAGAAGGTTCTCGGGGGTGGAAGGTGGTTTGTGCCGTCCAGCGCAGCACCTCGCTCAGGCAGTGCTGGTTGGGCGGTTTGAACACTCCGCCGACACCCGTGTCCATCTAAGGCTTTGCCTGGCGCCTCAGCATGCAGCTGGGGCGGGCTCCTCGGTTCCTGTCTGCGGGGCGACCTGAGTGTCGTTCTGGGGACAGAAGGGCACCTGCGGCCTCGCCCTTCGCTTGGCGGTTCCGCTCAGGTCGTGGCCCCGGCCCCCCGGGTACCCAGTTGAGCCCAGGGAGAGGCTCTAGGAGAGCCACCCCCGCGGCCCAGGGTTCGGAGCGTGTGCTCCCGCTCTCTGTGGGCGCCCCATCCCAGTGCCCTGCGCGTGTGGCGGGCGGTTTCGACAGCGAGCGCAGGCTGCGGTCGGGGTGGAGTCCAGTGCGGCGGAGCCTGTGCCCTGGAACTCACAGGAGGGCCGTGGCTGTGCGAAGAGACTGTTGGAGCTGGTGTGTCTCTGCTGTCACAGGGCTCCTCGCACGCTTCGTTTCGTCTGCAGACCACGTGTGTGTCAGTGACCAGTCCCCACAGAGTTTGTGAGCACCACCGGCCGCGTGCTGGGTCGTCCGGGCCTGCGCAGGGTGGCGTGTGGTGCGGCACGTTTCAGACTAGAGCAGACTCTTCTGGAGAGTCCGTCTGGGCAGGGAGTTCTGTTCTGCGGGCTCGCGGGTCTTCGTGAAGGCGTCACGCAGCAAGGTTCCGTGTGTGGGCCTCGGCGTGCTTCTCTCAGGAAAGGGCCCGCAGCTCCTGCCAGGTTCGCCAGGGCAGCTTTGGCCCCAAAGGTCAAATAAACGGCTTCCTGGGATCTCGGGCTGACACCGCGTGGTGCGTGTGGTAGGAGGACCACATGTTCTGTCTAAGAAACCACCTCGCAGTTCGATGTGCGCTCCTTCCCGCCAGCAGCGTCTCTGACTAGGGATCCGAGAAGCTGCACGAAGCCGGGACCTGCGGCGTCGCGCCTGTGTGTCCTCCACTGCGGTCTAGTCCCTCGACCTCCTGTGGGGAGACTGTCGTGTGTTTCTGTGACTCCTGTCCCTTGAAGTGCTGCGGCAGCTTAGTGCCCTTCGACGGCAGAGGCCCCGGCCCTGGGTTGACCTGACTTCAGGGAGCTCCTTGGCGAAGCCGCCGGGTTTGTGACACGGTTTAGATGGGAGGGCTGTCTGCCGTCTCTGGGGACCTGCCCTGCCGCAGGCGAGGGGGAGGCGCTAAGTTCCAACCAAAGTTGGCTCACAGGGCGAAGTTGACTTCAAAGTGAATCTTCGTCCTCAGGCCGTCCGTAAAGCAGACACCCATGGTTCGGTTTTACTGTGCTCTGCGGCCACGACTCTCTGCCACCCCGTGTGGCTCTGAACTGTCTCCCTTGAAGCAGGTCGGTGGACTGAAGGCCAGTGGTCGGGAAACTCGCTGTTCCCTGCCTTCCAGCAGCGTGGGTCCCGGGCCCCACTCGGTGGAGAGGGCGGCCATTTAAATTCCCTGTTTCAATAAGAGGACCTGTGTTGTTTTTTTTTTTAAAGATTTTATTTATTTATCTTTAGAGGGGAAGGGAAGGCGAGAGGGAGAGAAACATCAATGTGTGGTTGCCTCTCATGCATCCCCTGCTGGGAACTGGCCTGCAGGGAACCAGCATGCAACCCAGGCATGTGTCCTGACTGGGAATCGAACTGCGATCCTGTGAACTGGGAATCGGACTGAGGCCCGTGCTCAATCCACTGAGCTGCACCAGCCAGGGCAGGACCTGTTTTTTTAAGTAGCCGCAGTGCATCAGGAGGCGGCCACTGCATTTCCAGCTTCGCCGTGTACTCGACAAGCCTGGAGCATGCAGTTCAGATGAGTGATGTTTTCCTGAGAGGACTCGCTCGTGGTTGGCTCGCTGATGCAGGAAGTGTGCGGCGTGTGCGAGGCACTGCTGTGGGCACTGCAGTCGCAGGCCTGCGGAGGCCGAGTCTCTGTCTCTCCTCCCAGAGCAACAGACTTTGGATAGAGGCCCTGGAGGCCCAGCCGTCTCTGGTGGGGGACAGGTGCCCTCTCAGAGGGGAGGACGTCATGCAGTGGCAGTGTGTGTCCCCCGCCCCCACCCAGAGTGGCATGCGGTTCCTGCCGTGGAGGGCGGGAAGGGAGGCGGGAGGACCGGTGTCATGGGCTGCTTCCGTGTCCCTGCAGGCATCACCAGGTTCGACCTGCTGGGAGACTTCGGCAGGTTTAACTGGCTGGGCAGTTTCTACACCGTGCTGTCCTACAACCTGCTGTTTGCCGTCGTGACCACGCTGTGCCTGGTGAGGAAGTTCACCTCGGCCGTGCGGGAGGAGCTGCTCAAGGCCCTAGGTAACCCTCAGCTCAACACGTGACCCCAGGGCGCTCACCTTCCCCACCCCTGGCCCTGTGGGAAACCCTCGGCCTGCCCCCCTCGTGTGCAGAAGGGTGGCGGTGTCTTGGTTTCAGGATGGCTTGCTGTGCGTTTACCTGGCCTGGGTCCTGTGGTCCAGAGCCTGGTCCTGGCCCCCGGGGAGGGTCTGGAGGCCTCAGCTCGGCGGGCTTGGCGGCTGCTGTCACTCTGGGGTGCTACCGTGGGGTGCCACCCTGGGACCAGAGTGTGTCCTCTGGGACTGGTTTCCCCTCCCCCACCATCAGACAGCCCCCCCCCCCCACTTCCCCCAGATGTGCCTGTGACAGACTCTGGGATGAGGAGAGAGGTACTGGCTGCACCGATCTGCAGAGCCTGTGGCCGGCGGGCAGCCCTCTGGGGTTGGTGGAGGAGAGCCTGGCCCGAGAGTGAGCCCCCGGACACCTCGTCCTGAGGCCTCTCCCGCGGGCGTGCTGCCTGGCTCTGCCCGACTCTTGCTCCATCTTACCAGTGCGCTGCGGCCTCTGCAGCACAGAAACCCCGTGTCCTGTCCCTGGAGAGGTCGCAGGACCGTGCTGAGTGAGGTGCTTTCTGTGAGCGACCACTGTGTGGTGCAGCGGTCACGGTCGCCCCCACCGGGGCTCTTGCCTCTGAAGCACCTCTGAGGAGTGAAGTGTCACTTGCGGTCACCGTGTTGTTCTGCATTTCTCCCCCCTTCCCGTTGGGCATTGCGTCTTGCCGCCCAGCCTTTCCGCCTGGGGCCCTGTCCTGGTGTGTCTCCCGAGTGTGCTTTCCCAGGGACACAGATCGTGCTGGTCTGGGGCTGGGCCCCCCGGGCAGAGTGGCTCTGCTGGGACCAGGCTGGTGAGGGCGGCTGCTGAGGGTGGGCCGCAGCACGTCACCCTCGCCTCCCCGGCGGGCGCCGCCCTGTGTCCTCTCCGCCCAGGGCCCCGCCCCTCTCACTGTCTCCTGTCTGTCCGCAGGGCTCCGCAAGCTGCGCCTGCCCACAGCCTGCAGGGATGCAGAAACGGCCAAGCTGTCCGCAAACGGGCACCAGAAAGTCCTGTGAGGCCGGTGGCGCCCCTCCGCAGCCCAGAGGCCCGGCCCGGCCGCCCAGCATGCCTGTGACGGACGCCTTGGCGGGCCCACGGTCACGTTCTCGTCACCCACAGGAACCCCGTGATCGTGGGTCCCCTTCCTCTCCGTGAAGCTCCCTGCGGGGTCCCGCCCCACACTACACCTTCTCGTGCCCGGCACTGGCCACGTGGGAGACGGCCCGGGAGACCCTCCACTCAGGCCGCCCTCAGTTTTGTGTGGGATGCAGCTCACGGAGGCCCTGGTGCTGGGACGGGTGGCCAAGGCTGCGCAGAAGGTGTGACCCTGGGTCCGTGCAGTGGCGTGGGGGACGGCGGTGGTCGCCCGCGGTGCCCTCCTGTCCATCAAGCAGGAATGAAGCACGGCTCTGCCTCACGTTACAGAGGGCGCCCAGGGGCTGGGAGTCGAGGGAAGGTGGGGTGCTGCCTACCGCTGAGCCCGGGGACCGCACGCTGGGGCCAGTCCCCCCTCACAGCACACTGGCCGGTGTGGAAAACACGGTCCCTCGGACTCCGCCTTCCAGGCTATACACACACTCATTTTTTAAAGCCCTTTTTAGAAAAGTCCCTTACTTCCTCACGTTCCTGTGCCTGTTAGGAAACTCGGACTGCGCTGTGGTGGAGACCCCTTCTTTCGCTGGACGTGGCCGGCCGTGGCTGCTTTTGCCAATTTACACCTCAGGCCCGTGAATGTGGCCAGACACTGAGCACACGGTATCGGTGCCTGGGACAGCAGAGTCGCCCTGCTGTGCGCCCTGCGCTGGCGGTCTTCCCACCATCCAGCTGTGCGTGGTTCCGGGACGGTCTCCTGACGCGGGCACTGAGGGTTGGCCTTTGCAGGTTGTGCGTGCGGAGCCCAAGAGCAGGTTCTGAGTCTGTGGACGTCTTTACACCCACTCTGTGTGTGCGGTGGGTCGTCTGTGCTCGGACCACAGCAAAAGGCCCTTCTCAAATTGTTGCATCTACAGCTTTTTTGGGGGGGGATGATGAAAACCAGGCTGGGTATACTCAACATAAAGAGTGTCCACTTAGAGCCAAACTTGTAGGAAAAGCAGATCTGTGTTTGTGTGCCCCACGGACTCCACCTGCCCTGTGTGTCTGCATTTCCCGCCGAGCCCACTTGTTGAAAGAACGTCTCCGGAGTGCAGACCACCCTCAGGAGCCAGTCGCTCTCGCACAGGGGGCTGTCGGTGCAGGGCCTGAACACAGAGTTGATAAAGGTGGGCTGCTTTGTCGTTTCTCTGGTTAAGCACATTGGTTGCAGACTTTGCTTTTCACCGAGACTTGCTTGCAACCCATTCTTCGAGCAGACCAGGCCACCGGAGAGGAGGAGGAGACGTCTTTCAACCAAGGGCTATCCAGCATCAGTCCCGCGGGCCTCAGGGCACGCGCAGCAGAGGCGCTCCTGCGCCCTGGGGAGATGCCCGCGCCCTCTGCGTGAATAGTTCAGCTTCTCCGAGTGAATGCCAGGCCGAGTAAATGCCAGGCCCATGCTCACAGGCACCTGTGGAGGGCCCAAGCCCCGCCTGACCGGGAGGCGGCACTGCCACTTCCTTGCACTCCCGGCGCCTCTGCCCTGGGGGGCCTGCTATGTGCCCGCGGTGTTCTGCACGAGTGCGGCCAGGCCAGGCCCTGCCGACGCAGGTGTGCTGGTCACTCGGTCCCTGTGCAGGGCGTCCAAGGACACGCTGGGTCAGCTCTAGGCACCTGTGATAGGCACTGGTGAGGAGAGGCATCCTTCTGGCTCCCCAGCAGTTGTGGCGGCCAGGGAAGGGGCTGTGGCACCTCACTGGTGCCGGGGGGGGGGGGGGGGGGGGGGGGCGGCGTCTGAAGCGGTGACAGGCGGGGGCACTGCAGCTGTCTGGAGAACTAGCCAGCTCCTCTCATTAACTGGTTCTGCATATTTAAATAAATTATTTTGGAATTATGAAACTTGCAGACGGTGGCGTTTGTGATGACGTTCCAAGGTGTTTCTTAGGTGTGATGGTCACGTGGCTCTGTGCAACTTCTCTGTAAGACAGACCCATGTGCAGTGCACACACACCCACTCGCCTAGGCTCCTCACACCCCACGGCGGGGGCGGGGGCGTGTGAGACGGGACCTCCCCGCACCGCCGACTTCTGGGCCTGCCCCGGGTCTGTGCGCACCTGCTCCCAGGGTGTGCGCACCTGCCTGGGGCCTTTGTCACCCAGGACCCGCCCCAGCGCTGGCCCAAGGTCGGAGGCCCCATGGGGCGTTCTTCCTTGTTTGCACCATATTTAATGGATAAAGGCAGAGTTCCTACAGTAGTTCTTTTTAGCGAGTACTAGTATACACAGAGTGCCAACTTGAAACGTTAGGAGCCTGGTGTGACGCTACTTCAAAGGTGACGTCCGGGCGCACGGGTGAGTGTGAGCCTAGCACGCACACGTGTTTCCGTGACGTGTTGCAGTGGGAACTTCCAAATGTCTTGGAACTCGTGTTTTATCGGAACGCGTTCATGCCTTGGTTTGTATGCACTGAAGTGTGTTTTTTAGAAGGTCTCAGACACCATCACCTGTAAATCTCACGGGTGTGGATAGGTCACTTCCATTTCCGTTTTAGGGTTGAATTGAGGAGGAAGTGGCTTTTCTCTCGTCGTTCTGGAGTCCCCCGTGGATTCGATTCTTGCTGCCTGAAGTACAGCATCTGTGCTGCCTTTATTGTTGGTGCTGCTGGGTTTGTCTGCCGCTTCCAGCCTCTTCCACGAGGTGACCCAGCCGCCAGGACCGGGCTGGGCTGCTCCATCTGGAGTTCTGGGACCGGTTCTGGGTCCTGGTCGCTTCCAAGCTTTCTGACCAGAGGGTCACATTTCACATTGTGACTCAGTGTGTATGCACACCCAGATCTCTATATAGAAACAAAAATTTAAGAAACAATCCATTTTTTTACTGTGTGTCACGTGTGCTGGCGTTTCTGTGTGTTTCGTCACTTTTTAAAATGCTAGACACAAGCCACTGAGTGGCTTCCTGACCTCCCAGCGGACGGTGAACTGCAGTTTGAGAAATGCAGCTCTGGGGTCTGATCCAAGTGGGAACGACAGACCTGCCCTTGGCTTCCGACAGCGGTTCACCGGGTAAACTGTGTTACTCCAAACACCAGCGAAGCAGAAGCATCGTGCGCAGGTGACAAAAGTGTAATTCAGATCAGTGTGGATTGTAGCCCTGGCCAGGCTGTAGTTGGAGCAGCGTCCTGTACACCAAAAGGTCATAGGTTCGATTCCCGATCAGGGCACAGGCCTGGGTTTTGGGTTCAATCCCAGTCCGGGTGTGAGCAAGAGGCAACCAATTGACATTTCTCTCTCATATTGATGTTTCTTTCCCTCTCTCTCTATCTCCCTTCCCCTCTTTCTAAGAATAGGTAAATAAAATCTTTAAAAATAATACATGGATTGAAAATTCTGGAACGAGGTGAGTGACCCATCTGACTTGGAGGGACAGAGGGGAAGGCTAGTTTTCAAGAAGTGGTTTAGCCTCCAGCTCTGTAGTTCAATTGGGAAAATGTCAAGTTCAAATGTAACCAAATAGGAGATTCAGACGAAACAGTGTCTTCCGGACAGGGTGTCGGTGTCACAGCTGTCGAGATATGTAAACGGACTGAAGAAGCACTGGCCTTGCTTTTGACTCGCGGACACCAAACACGCCTTCCTCACCCAGGGGCTCAGAACTGGCAGAGGTGCACCGCGCCCTCGCTGTGCTCACCTCTGTCCCTGTGAGCAGCTGAGTTGCCGCCGCCTGGCAGTCACTACGGCCCTTGGGTCACAGAGCTCAGGGGACGGGCTCTGTGTCTCAGTCACAGTGTGCAACCAATCCCTACTGCGCCCCCGCAGCCCAGCCAGCAAGCGGGAGGTGCAGGCTTGTGGTGGCAGCGGAGTCTGCTGCCTCGTCAGATGAAACAAAACTGCAGTTTACTAGCAGCCTAGTAGTACAGCCGTGGCCAGGCTGGCTCAGTGGGTTGGAGCGTCGTCCCATAAACTGGAAGGCGGCAGGTTCAATTCCCAGTCAGGGCTCACACCTGGGTTCGGGGTTCCATCCCCACTCAGGGAGCGTATGGGCAGCAGCTGATTGGCGTTTCTCTCTCCATCCCTCTTCCCCTCTCTCTGAAATCAGTAAGCCTCAGGCAGGGTTTGCTTATTCTCAGGTGGGGATGAATGTTTTTTTTTTTATCTCCAATTTTTTTTCATTAAAATATTTTTAATATATTTTATTGATTATGCCATTACAGTCTATTTTTCCCCTTCATTCCCCTCCACCCTGCACACTCTCCCCCACCATTCTCCCCCTTTAGTTTATGAACACGTGTCTCAAGTTCTTTAGATTCTATATTTCCCATACTATTCTTGCCCTCCCCCCTATTTTCTACTTACCGTCTATGCTACTTATTTTCTGTACCTTCTCCCCCCTTCTCCTCCTCCTCCCACTCCCCTGTTGCTAACCCTCCATGTGATCTTCATTTCTATGGTTCACTCCTGATCTAGCTGTCCTCTTAGTTTGTGTTTTAGGTGTGGTTCTTAGTAACTGTGAGTTTGCTGTTCTTTCACTGTTTATCTTTTTTATCTTCTTTTTCATAGATAAGTCCCTTTAACATTTCATATAATAAGGGCTGGGTGATGATGAACTCCTTGAATTTGATCTTATCTGAGAAGCACTTTATCTGCCCTTCCATTCTAAATGAAAGCTTTGCTGGATAGATCAATCTTGGATGTAGGTCTTTGGATTTCATGACTTGGAATACCTCTTTCCAGCCCCTTCTTGCTTGTAAGGTCTCCTTTGAGAAATCCGCTGACAGTCTGATGGGAACTCCTTTGTAGCTGACTGTCCCCTTATCTCTCGCTGCTTCTAGGATTCTCTCCTTCATTTTAATCTTGGCTAATGTAATGATGATGTGCCTTGGTGTGTTCCTTCTTGGGTCCAACTTCTTTGGGACTCTGAGCTTCCTGTATTTCCTGGAAGTCTATTTCCTTTGCCAGATTGGGGAAATTCTCCTTTATTATTTGTTCAAATAAGTGTTTCCACTGGTGGCTGTTCCTCTTCCCCTTCTGGTACCCCTATAATTCGGATGTTGGAACGTTTAAAGATGTCCTGAAGGTTCCTAAGCCTCTCCTCCTTTTTTAAAATTCTTGTTTCTTCATCCTTTTCTGTTTCGTCATTTTTTTTCTTCCTTCTGGTCCACTCCTTTGATTTGAGTCCCAGTTTCCTTTCCATTACTTTTGGTTTCCTGTGTATTTCCATTCATTTCAATTAGTTTAGCCTTCATATGTTCCTCTAATTTGTGACTAAAATCAGCCAGTTCTGTGAGCATCCTGATCACCAGTGTTTGGAACTGTGCATCTGGAAGTTTGGCTATTTCTTCATTGCTTAGATTTATCGGCTCTGGGGCTCTGAGTTGTTCTTGAGCCTTGTTTTGATCTGTTCGTGCCTGTTAGGTATGAGGAGGTGTTCACCAGGGCGGGGCCGCCCAGGTCGCAGGTTTGTGAAGCTGTATGTGGGGGCGGGGTCAGAGAGGGACAATGGCGGTCCCCTCTGCCACTTCCCATCACTGGGGCCTGCACGGTCTGTCTCACTGCTTCACTCTTTCACCGGTTTATCTGCACTTGAATGTGTGACTGTGGTCAGCCCTCAGTGGGTCTGCCCCCTTCTCCACACCTGGGATCCGCCCACGGCTGCCATCGCGCCTGGGTTGCGCGCTCCGGTTGGTCCGGTGGATCTTTCCTGCCTGACCCCTGCTCTGCTGCTGGGTCTGCCCCTCTTACTGGTTTGTCTGAAGGGTTCGTTTTTGTCAGACTTCCATGTAATTCAATTTTCTGTGGTTTGGCTGCGTTTTTGTTGCTAAAACTTTGTTGTTTTTAAACTTGGTTGTGTGAGAAGGTCAGTGCTTCCACCTATGCCTCCATCTTGGCGGAAGTGAATAGTAATGAAATACACATCCACCTGGAAATGTAGAATGCTGTTTTAAAATAACTGCAGAGATTGGTGGATTAGGGTGGACTTAAGTAGCACCACAGAATTCCCTCTGCTGAGTCTTCCAGTGAACCCCCCTCTTGGGGCCCCACCTCGTTCTTGGTCCTGGGCTGGCTGAGGCTGGGACAGGATCCTGGGAAAGTCTGCAGTCACTGGGACCTGACCCGGCGCTGTGTTGCCACCTTCAAACTGCCCAGAGAAGCAGATGACATCCAGTCATGGCTCCGTGGCTGCAGCTGGGTGTCCTCACACCGTTGGTGGGTGGCTGCTCCTGATGGCCTCTCCAGGGGAAATGACCAGGTGGCCATAGGTGGTCACCCCTGTACAGGCTGGCTTTCCTGCCTTGCCCCGAGGTGGTTGGCCTGGGTTGCCTCCCTCCCGTGTTCCTGCAGCTCACCCCGGGGTCAGGAAAGTCCTTGGTGGAGAGGGGAGCTGTGAGCGCAGCCCATTTTAGCAGGAGAGGACCTGCCTGGAAGGACATGGGCCAGCTCTCAGACTTGTGGGCAACTTGAGAGAGGGCCTCAGATGCCCGGGACAGCACCCCCGTGGACCCGAGCTGCCACTGAGAGACCCAGGCACTGCTGGCCTCTCCCTTGGGGTTCCAGGGTGGGGCAGAGACTCGGCCAGCCGGGCCCTGGCCACCGGCATGGCTCACCTATCAGGGTCTCGTAGTGGGCATCCTCCGTGCTGGCTGCTGTCCTCCAAGTCTGCACATTGGGTGATGGGAGCTCCCTCAGGTGACACGCTGGAGCGTTTACTCAGCAGTGATGGGTGCACAGGCGACAGCAATGAAACAGACCAGACTGGTGTTTTAAAATGATGAGGGACATAATAGACAGGAAGGTGCACTTCAGCTTTTCTCCCTGCACAGCTTGGGGACTGGACACCGGCACACCCGTGCTTGTCCACCTGTGAGTCCCCCACCCCGCCGGTGCTCTGCCTCGTGCCACGTGTGGCTGGGGCTGCAGCTATGTGGTCCCAGATGCCCAAACAGACCACTGTCTGCCCTTCCTAGCAGGCGAGGCCACTCGCTGGGTACCCAGGGCACAGGGGACATCAGGCCACCAGCCATGACGCACGAACTGGCAGGAGACATGAGTGGTGTGGCGGCTACGAAGAGCAGACCCTCTGCCCGCCCCTGCCCCACCACGTCCCCTCATCCCACTGCTGGGACTTGGGACCTCATTTGTTGGCAGCTGCTGGGCGTGTAACCCTTACAAGTGTCCCTGGCCATTGTCACCACCCTGGTCCTGGGGAGAGTCCCCTAGGGTCAGGACACTGCCCATCAAGAGGTTATGGATTTCGTCCAGGCTGAGCTGAAATGGTGTGGCCCTGCGTTGTGAAAAGGTGGTTGACCGTCTCCTAATGCCGAGCAGTTTATTTTTATGTTTGGGTTCACACACACAAATGCCCCTGGGAGGGTCATGTCACACAAAGAAGGAAAGTTCCTCCTGAGAGATCTGGTGGCAGAGGGTCACGAGGCCCTGGGCGGTCAGACACCTGTGACGGGCAGTAGCCACGCCCCTGGGTGCTGCCCGGAGCCTCGAGAGCCGGCCAGGGGGCCGGCCTGCCTGGGAGAGGGCAGGTGCATGCTGTCCCAAGCGCCCATGGGTCCGCTGGACGCACAGCAGGTCGGTGAGGCACAGGGCCTCAGAAACTCAAGTTTTAGCTGTCATATTTCAGCTGATTGAACTCAGGCACTTGACGTTTTCTTTCTCTAAAGATGAAAACTGGATCAGTGGTCAGCTTTTAAAAATATAGTTGTGCTTTCCATGTACAAGTATTAAACATTTTCTTCACTGCAGAACAGTTTATCCTGTCATGCTCAACCCCAAACTCCCACAATTCATCCCAAATTAAGGTCCACTTTGCCCCAGAATTGTGGGATTTTTTTCCTTCCTGTGAACTCAACTTTCCAGAATCCGCTTCTGGTAGCAGGCACGGCAGAGGGGACAGGCATGGAAGGGGGAGGCGTCCCCCCAGGAGAGTTGCTCCAGGGCCAGGAGGCAGGCGTGGTGGAACACGTGTGAGCAGGACAGGAGCGCCGTGGGCCGCGCTGGTGAGCTGCTGTCCATCCCCGAGGGGCTGCTGGGGCCCACGGACAGCGGCGTGAGGCAGATGGAGCACTCCTGGGTGTCCCGGAGCAGGGCCTGCAACACGGGAGGCGTGAGCTATACTGCGGCTGCCCGGGTGTCGGCCTGGGTCAGAGCGAGGGCGGCGGGCCCAGGGACTGGGCCCTCTGCAAGGAACAAGGGGCGTTTTGTGTGCACTATGCCAAGTGGGTGCTGGTTGTGCACGTGCTCTGCTACTCGTGTGAGGAGTGGAAGGGGAGAGTGACCTGCCTGTGCTGGGAAATTTAAAGACAATCCTTTATCACATGCTGTGTTGAGAATCTAGGTTTCTCATTCCTTAAGCAACGGCGAGGCCTTTTTCAGAAGCCTCACCTCAGCGGAGCTAGGAAATGCCTTTATAAAGTGGCTTGTGTTGAGGATGCTCAGGTCAGTTTTTACTCAGTTGGATTCTCCACAGTGACTGCAGACCCAAGGGGAGACCAGGAGACGGTGGGGGGCGGCCACACAGTGGGGCTGTTCCCTTTGCTATTTCTACCGCTCACAGGTCGGCATCCTCAAAGCAGAATCTCCAACTGAAGGGCCTTGAGGTTGCCCCAGAGTGGGTGTTGAGGGTCCATGGGGCCCCGGGTCTCCCCTCCGAGTTCACCACCGACCCCTGATTACCGAGCTGCTCCGGTCACTGAGCGAAGCCTACCTGCGTCTGGATTTTCTGCCAGTCATCGTCGGTGAGCCTGCGGCCACACTGCTGGTCCAGCTGCTGCAGGACGCTGCGGTTGACGGCCAGGCAGTGGTCGATCTCTGCCAGGAGCTCGTCGATGTCCGTGTGGTAGGAGCAGAGCATGCGCTGGCTGATTTCTGTGAACTGAGGAGGACAGGAGCTGCTCACCTGAGCTTGGGGTCTTGGGGAGCGGGGGGAGGGAAGCACCTTCTGGAGTCCCCACCACCTTCTGCACCAACTCCATGCAGGTCTCTGCCTTCAAATAATATTTTTTGGGGAAGCCAACATGTGGCTCTCTGTTCAATGACCCCACATCCAGGAAATTTATACCGAGAGATCACCCAAAGGGCCGTCTGGTTGTTCGCTCTAGTGCCTGTCAGCAAGGAATACACCGATATTGAAAGTTGACAGGAGAAAGGAGCTAGAATTTTATGAAATTAGCTGTATGTCATCCTGCCCTGGCACCCTTCACTGTCACTTGAAGAGGACGGTGGCAGCACAGTGCCCCAGTCTGCTCCCGCTCCCGGACAGCTGGTGACCAGAGCTGGTGCGTGGGTCTCTGCTTCCTGGCCACCTTCCCACTGGGGTTGCAAATTATGAATTACTGTTTTAGCATGACCATAAAAAGGGAAATCAAGGGAAAGATGATCACTTTCTATTACACGAGCTTTTCAGTCTGTTCGCGTCGAGCTCTGAAATCATGATTTGAAAACCCCCATGGCCTAAGGACCTTAAGATCTCTGAACAGAAGCTGATGCTGCCCCTTTGCTACAGAACAGATCTCTAGGATATAAAATTTTCTTTTTTTTACTGCTAGCAGAGATATGGGGGCAGCATATTACAGCTCATCTCTAACTTTTAGAAAGTTTGCTTTGATGGTAGTGGGTGTAGATACAGTCTCTAATGTTCCTCCAAGCTCAGTTCTTTCTATAAAGCACTATCATTTTGACCCAAGATTTAGAGAAGCAGAGACACCTTGGGACAAACGATTTAACTGGATAGTGTGGGTTGTGGTGTGTGGTGCTATTGCCTCCTGCTGGCAGGGACCGGAATTGCCAGCATAAGCCCACCCAAGGTGGACCTCGCTGCAGGGCGGGATTTGTGGGGTGAATTTGCTCCTGTGACTAGTAACGTGGAACAACTCTAGATAATGCAGGTAATGGATGCCGGGGTGACGCCTCCCACTGGGCTCGTGTTTCTGCCATTATGAGGTGGCAGTTGCTATTGCAAAGCAGTCCAACCTGACACCCTTCAGGCTCCTCTGGACTCAGGTTTGGCCACGGGCTTTACTGCCCTGCTCTCTGTGAATTTTAACTTCCAGAATTAGGAAGCCTCCAACCCTTCTGCATATGCCCTTCTGGCAGGAGGTCGTCACCTTCCTTTTTAAAAACATAAAGTCCTATAGATACTGACTTATTAGAAAGTTAACATATCTTCAACTTTACTAGGCTTTTCATGGAGACTGGTTGTTCCTATCAGTGTTTTTGCTACAGATGGTTTGCCCCTTTTCCTGTAAGTTTTGCAGGACTTTGGGGGAATATTTGCATTAACAGAAGCACTGAGGCAGGTGATGCGGGGGGGTGGGCTCCAGGAGTCTTGGGGCGAGGGGAAGGGGAAGGGCTGGCTCAGGGGTTCCGTTCAATTGTGCAGACCTGGCTTATGGGCAAGGACGGGCATTTGCTCTCGAGCAGACCTCACAAAACAGACTGGAAATAGTGTGAGCGCACGAGGGAGGCAGAGTGAAGGTGTACGATACTTAACCGCCCCCTCCAGCCCGACTGTTGTTAGAACTTCCTAAAATGTAAGACTTCAAGCTCCTCTAGGTGGGCCTCGCCCAAGAGAAATGGAACCTTCCCCACACTGGCAATCTTAAAACTTCCAGGGCCAGTTTTAAAATGGGTTTAAAGAGGTGAAATTACTTTTCATGATGTTTTTCCTTAACCCACCATACCCCGACCATTATCATTTCGGAAGGTATCAAATTGAACGAGCTATGAAAGAGACGCTTTCCAGTCCTTTTTCTCGTCCAGCCCTGATGTGCCGTGTGCACGGTGTGTTTTCAGCCTGTCCGATCCGGGCCGGCCTCCCTCCAGGGCTGGAAGGCACTAGTGGCCCGTGGCTGCCAGTCTGTGACAGCGTAGGCCGAGGGCTCATCACCGGCAGGGGCCCCGTCGTCCGAGGCACAGACAGGTAGCCAGTCCTTTGTCAGATTTTTGAAGGCTGATCTACCACAAACGGCAGTGGAACCACCTGCTGCTTAGGCCGCCGTGCCACCCGGACACGGCTGCACGGCCAACTTCGTCACACGCACGAGGAGCCCACGCCCAAGTGGTAACGGTGCAGGGAGCACTTGGAGCGTACTGCCGTCAGCACTGGCGGCCTTGCCCGCCCTCCAGGATACGTACTGGACGTGACAGGGTCGCGGTGCGGTCACAGGCCCCGGGACGCACAGGCCCCTGCCCAGCAGTACTAGTCGGTCACGAGAGCGCACCCTGCTATACGGCTGCCGCCCCGCACTACGCTGGCTGCGTGTTCACGTCACGCAAGGAGACGTCAGGCGGTACGTCATGTCCGGAGAGACATCTCGTCAGGTTGGGAGGGACGTCATGTCTTGTTTGGAAGGTATCACCGCGCCGACCGGCTGGGTGGGGCCGCCTCAACCCCGCAGTGGCGGTAGGACTTCCGGCCCCGTCGCTCTGGCGCCCGCAGCTGTCATGTGTGCTTCTCGGGGACTGAAACGTCCTGGGGCCTGGACGCATCCTGTGGAGCTCCGGGAGGACGGCACGGAAGCCCCTCAGCGCTGTGCCTTCGTGGACGCTGCTGTGGAGCGTGGCCGAGGTGGGTGACTCCTGGAGGGGGGCGGAGCGAGGGCGGGGCTGTGCTCTGGTCGCGTTGGTCGGGTTGTGAGAGCCGGTAGCGTCGTGGTCTTGGGGGCGCTGCGTCAGGGCCTTGCGGTTCACGTACTGCGCTGCGGGCCTGTCGGAGCCCCCGTGATCTCGAGTAAGACGCTGGGCGGGGCAGGGAGACGCCCAGCCTCCACATTATGAAAGGCCCCCCCCGGACACTGAAGGTTTTGGGAGGCGGGGTTTTGGAGGTGCGTGCTGCGCCTGCGTGATGAGCGTTTTCCTTGCCGCGTTGTTGGGCCCCTACGCGGGCTGGGCTACTCTGACTCACCCACACCGCGTCTGTAGTCTGGGCCCTGGCCGCCGCGAGGGCACGGTGAGCACGTGTTCTCGGGAGGGTGTGGGTGCACGCACCGGTTCTGTCGACGGCGCTGACCCAGCCGTGGCCCCCCCCCTTCCTCGCGGGGGCGCGGGCTTGCCCACGCCTGAGGTCTGCGAATCCATCTTGGCAAAGCCACGGGACTTCCCCCGCCGAATCTTGGGCTCCCTCTGGGGCGCACCTATCAGCTCGAGGCCGCAGGTGGCTCTGGGGACTTGGGTCTTCCTGCTGGTTGGCGTGGTGCTGGCCTGTTGCACTCCCCCCATCTGGACCCGGCTAGGCTCTCAGTTCAGTTCTTAGTGTGTTTCTGTTTCTATTCCAATTTCTTTTGACCAACGGGTCGTTTAGAACTGTTTCCTGGCTGGCATATCTGATAAGGGGTTAATGTCCAAAATGTATGAAGTATTCATGAAACTCAATGCCAAAAAGCAAACAAGCCAGTTAAAAAATGGGCACAGGACCTGAAAGACATGTCTCCCAGGAGGACATATAGAGGGCCCAGAGACATATGAAAATACCATGAGCATCACTAGCCATCAGGGATGCAAATTAAAACCACAATGAGATGCTACTTCACACTGGTCAGAATGGCCATCAAAAACAAATCAACAAACATCCTGTTGGAGAGATTGTGGAGAAAAGGGAACCCTAGTGCACTGCTGGTGGGAATGCAGGCTGGTGCAGCCACTGTGGAAAACTGAAAATGGATCTGTGTTTTGACCCAGCAATTCCGCTGGTGGGATTATACCCTAAGAACCCTGAAACACTGATCAGAAAGAACCTATGCACCCCAGTGTTCATAGCAGCATAATTTATAATAGCCAAGTGCTGGAAACAGCCTAAGTGCCCACCAGTAAATGAGTGGATCAAAAAACTGTGGTCCATTTACACAATGGAATTCTATGCAGCAGAGAGAAAGAAGGAACTCTTACCCTTTGCAACAGGAAGGTGGAACTAGAGAGCATAATGCTAAGTGAAATAAGCCAGGCGGTGCAAGACAAATACCACATGACCTCACTCATACGTGAAACCTAATGAACAAAGCGAACAGGCAAGACAGACAGACTCATAGACGGTCATAGATGGAGAGCAGATGACAGCTAGTGGAGGTGGGGTGGCTAGGGGTGGGGGGATGGTGTGAAAAGGAAAAAGGACTTGTGGACACGGACAGCAGTGTGGTGATTGCTGGGGAGAGGGGGATATAAGGAGACTGGGTGGTAATGGAAAAATATAATAAAGATTAAATCAATAAAAAATAAAAATAAAATCGAAGTTGTCACTTAATCCTACATTATATGACATTTTGTCAATGAGAAAAATAACGATTCTCTTCATATGTAGTGGTGGCTGAAGACTATTAAATTGCAGTTTATTATGTCTCAGCTGAATAACTTGAACTTCACCGATCAGCGCTCGCCCCATGAGCGACCTGCGGCCCGGAACAGTGCCTGAAGCAGCGGCGTCAGCGCTCTGGGAACCACAGCTCTTTTGGCGGGCTCTGTGCTGGCTCGGGGCTGCACAGCTGGGACACCTGCTTGCTTGGACTGGAGGCTGCAGTGGGGGCTACATGCTGGTCTGGGAGGTGGCAGGGGTGGGCAGGGAGTTGCTTTATCCAGCCTGGTGTCTGCACCTCCTCTGGAAGCTGAGGGCCTGCGGGCCTTGTGCCACCCGTCGCCCTCGCTGCTTCCCTGCATGAGTCCGCAGGTGCAGACTCCTTTCTGTTTTCATGACCTTGTGCGTGTATGTTCTCACGCGCTTGGGTTGAACTGAGTCCCGCTTTCGACTCTCGGAGCACCTCTGGCCCTTCCTCTGACACTGCTCATGGCTGGATGCTTTTTCCTTTTCCTGGTGTGTGCTTGTTTGCCTGAAGGGGTTCCTTGGATTCGAGGAAGAGCCTCACTCGTCTCCGTGAGGCCCTGGCC